TATTTAAATTGTTTCTTTCTGGCTGCTTGCAGCACCTTCTCTTTCATCTGGTAATTTTGGAATTTTGCTATTATATTCCTTGGCGTTGTCAATTTGGGATCTCTTTCAGGTGGTGATCGTGGATTCTTTCTATGGTTATTTTCCCTTCTGGTTCTAGGACTTCTGGGCAGTTTTCCTTTATGATTTCCTGAAAGATACTGTCCAGGCTCTTTTTTTCATCATGATTTTCAGGTAGTCCAATAATTTTTAAATTGTCTCTCCTGAGTCGATTTTCCAGGTCGGTTGTTTTACTGATGAGGTATTTTACATTTTCATCTATTTTTTCATTTTTTTGTTTCTGTTTGACTGATTCTTGCTCTCTCATAGAGACATTAGTTTCCATTTGTCCAATTCTAGTTTTTAACAGATTGTTTTCTTCTGTTAGTTTTTGTACTTCCTTCTTCAATGGCCAATTGTGTTTTTTAGGGACTTGTTTTCTTCAGTGTATTTTTTTTCCAATTGGCCAATTGTATTTTTGAAGGACTCTTCTACCTCTCTCATTTGACTATTAAAATCCTTCTTGAGCTCTTCTAAGAAGGCTTTTTGGGCTTCAGACCAGTTCATATTCCCTTTTGTTGTTGCAGATGTGGGTTTGTTGACAATGTTGTCCTCTTCAGAATTTCTGTCTTGATCTTCACTCTTCTCATAATATGAATCTATGGTACTTTCTTTTTACTCATGGTGTTTCTTTATTCCCTGGCCTTTAAAGAGATTGAGCTCTCCTGCTGGGGAACAGAGGGTACTGACCCAAGCTTCTTGTGTTGGGAGCCTAGGTCTTGGTCACTGGCTTTGTGTGCTGGGGCCTCTTATGCTGGCAATTGGAGGCTGTAGGTTTCTGGCAGCTTACCTCTGTTGGGCTGGAATCAGCAAGGCTGGAACTTTCAGGCAATTCTAGGTTGCCTGCTTTTCCTTTCCTTTAGCTTTCTTCAGCTCCTTTTAGATGGGTGCTGCAGGGTGTTTATCTGCCTGGGGCCCCTGCAGTGTTGTCTCCCTCTTTCTGCTAATGCACTGGGAGATTCCTTTGTGAGTGCGAGGCTCCTGGTGGTTTTCTGAGCTGGTTTCCACCGGTTCCCCCCCCACTGAGGCACTCGAGGTCCAGGTGTTGGTGTTTGCCTGCTTACCACCTGGGCTTCAGGATTTCTTCACAGTTGGAGGCTTCAGGGCTCCTACAGCTCACCTGGTGTTGGGTTGGAATCAGGAAGGCTGGGGCTTTAGGAAGCCTTTAGGTTGTTTTCTTCACCTCCTTTCAGATGAATGCCACAGGGTACTTGTCTGCCTGGGGCCCCTTGTAGTTCTGCCTCCCTTATTTTTGCTGAGGCACTGGGAGACCGTTTGCTGGGCTGCTGCACTGCTGCTCCTTTTTTCTTCTAGTTCAGTGTTCCAGGGTTTTTTTTCTGTGGTGATATTTTCTGGTTTTCAGAGGTTGATAGGGGAGAGTGAGAGCAACTGCCTTTTCACTCCACCATCTTGGCTCCCGGAAGCGGAAGTCTCAGCTGCCTGTGGTATTAAGAATACCAATGGTTGGGTGCTGAGGCGGAATGATGAGGTGGCTAGAGCACTGGATTTGGAATCAGAGGACCTGTATTGGGATCCTGGCACTGCTACTTATAACCTGTGTGATTTCATACCATTCATACAATAAATGGTTAACACTTTTAGCCTCAGTGTCCTTATTTCCTTATTCCTTCCAGTATACATATTCATATGTAACAGATGTCCTACCATTTCTCACCTGTAATAGGATATATCCAAAGATATAATAAGCCAGTGCTGCCTTGACATGGGGAGTTCCAATAGATTACTTCAGGCTTGAGGTGTTTGGTGGATCAGACGAGCACATCCCAGACTTTCTCTTTATGGTTACTTGTCAATCATTGGCTCCCATCCTTTGGGAACCCTCTTCTAAATCTCGGCAACTAACAATCACTCAGACCACAAATTCATGGTTAAATAGGCAGTTTAATTAGATTTGTGAATTTATAGTTTAAAAAAAGTCTTAAGTAGGTGAAGGGACTGCTAAAATCCAGAACTTGGAGAACACATTGCAACCACCACTTTGCAGCCAAGCATCCTGGTAGGTGTGGTCCCACCATTCCCCTGGTGTCCAGGACCATTCACACCCATTTCCTTTATGTTTTGGAAATGGCTTTGTTCATCTGGGCTCATTCCTTATGTTCCCTACCTAGTAAGTCTCAGAATTCTGGATGGTCTCCCTGCCACAAAGCCCTATTCACAAAGCTCCACTCGATTGTCAAAGGGATCTACCTAAAATACACGTCTCCTTTCCAACTCAATAAACTCCAATGTCTCCATTTCACCTCCAAATACAACACACTCAGTTTGGCTTTCAAAGTCCTTCATAATCTCCTCCCCACTTCCAGTTTTCTTACTCCTTACACCCTCTCTGCACATATTCTTTGAGCCAATGATACTACCTTCCTTGCTTTTCCTAGCAGAAGACACTCCATCTCTAGGCTCAAAGCATTTTCACTGACTCTCCCCCATGCCTGGAATGCTCTCTCTCCTCATCTCTGCCTCCTGGCTTCCTTCAAGTCCCAGATAAAATCCCACCTTGTACAGGAAGCCTTCCCCAATCCTCCTAAATTTTAGTGACTTTCTTCTTTGAATTGTTTCCTACTTATACTGTATATAGCTGGTTTGTCCATATTTGTTTGCATGTTATCTCCCCAATTAGATTGTGAATTCCTTGTATGAAGAGAATATCTTTTAAAAATTTATTTATTTGTTTTTAGTTTTCAACATTCACTTCCATAAGTTTTTGAGCTTTAAATTTTCTCCCCCTCCCTTCCCAAGATGGCATGCAATCTGATATAGGCCGTACATATATATTCATATTAAACATATTTTCACATTAGTCATATTGTAAAGAAGAATTAGGACCAATGGGAGGAAGCACGAGAAAGAAGAAACAAAACAAAACAACAACAACAGCAAAAAAGAGAGCAAACAGCATGCTTCCATCTGCATTCAGACTCCAGAGTTCTTTCTCTGAATGTGGATAGCATTTTCCATCATGAGTCTTTTGGAGTTGTCTTAGATCCTTGCATTGCTGAGAAGAACCAAGTCTATGGAAGTCATCACACAATGTGGCTGTTACTGTGTGCAACATTCTCCTCGTTCTGCTCACTTCACTCAGCATCGTTCATATAAGTCTTTCCAGGTTTTTCTGAAGTTTTCCTGTTCATCATTTCTTATAGCACAATAGTATTCCATTACATTCATATACCACAACTTGTTCAGCCATTCCCCAATTGATGGGCATCCTCTCAATTTCCAATTCTTTGCCACCACAAAGAGAACTGCTATAAATATTTTTGCACATATGGGTCCTTTCCCCCATTTTAATGATCTTTTTTAGGATACAGACCTAGAAATGCTATTGCTGCATTAAAGGGTGTGCACAGTTTTATAGCCCTTTGGGTATAATTCCAAATTGCCCTCCAGAGTGGTTGGATCAATTCACAACTCCACCAACAATACATTGTTATTTCAATTTCACCACATCTTCTCTAACATTTATCATTTTTCCTGTTTTTTCATGTTAGCCAATTTGATAGGTGTGATGCAGTACCTCAGAGTTGTTTTGATTTGCATTTCTCAAATCACTAATGATTTAGAGCATTTTTTCATATGACTATAGATAGCTTTAATTTCTTCATATGAAAACTGTCTCTTCATATCTTTTGACAATTTATCAATTGGGGAATGACCTGTATTCTTATAAATTTCACTCAGTTCTCCATATATTTTAGAAATGAGGTCTTTATCAGAGACACTGGCTCCAAAAATTGTTTCCCAGCTTTCTGCTTCCATTCTGACCTTGGTTGCATTGGCTTTGTTTGTTCAAACCCTTTTTAATTTAATGTAAAGTCATCCATTTTGGATTTCATAATGTTCTCTATCTCTTGTTTGGTCATAAATTCTTCACTTCTCCATAGATCTGACAGGTAAACTATTCCTTGCTCTCCCAGTTTGCTTATAGTATCATCCTTTATATATAAATCATGTACCCATTTTGACTATACTATCTTGGTATAGAGTGTAAGATGTTGGTCTATGCCTAGTTCCTGCTATACTCTTTTCCAGTTTTCCCAGCAGTTTTTGTCAAATAGTAAGTTCTTATCCCAGAAGCTGAAGTCTTTGGATTTATCAAACAGTAGATTACTATAGGCATCGACTATTGTGTCTTGCATGCCTAACCTATTTTTTTTTTTTGACGCTAGGCAATGGGTTAAGTGACATGCCCAGGGTCACACAGCTAGTAAGTGTTATGTGTTTGAGGTCGGATTTGAACTGAGGTCCTCCTGACACCAGGGCTGGTGTTCTATCCACTGCACCACCTAGCTGCCCCCCTAACCTATTTCTTAGCCAGTACCAAGTAGTTTCGATTATTGGTGCTTTATAACACAATTTGAGATTTAGTATAGCTAGGCTGCCTTCCTTTGCATTTCTTTTCATTAATTCCCTTGCTATTATAGACCTTTTGTTCTTCCCCATTGAATTTTGTTATTTTTTTCTAGCTTTATAAGATAATTTTTTGGTAGTTTGATTGGTATGGCACTAAATAAATAAATTGATTTAGGCAGAATTATCATTTTTATCATATTAGCTTGGTCTACCCATGAGCAACTGGTATATTTCCAATTGTTTAGATCTGACTTTATTTGTGTGAAAAGTATTTTGTAATTGTGTCCATAGAGTTTCTGCATTTGTCTTGGCAGATGGACTCCCAAATATTTTATAATGTATATAGTAACTTTAAATGGAATTTCTCTGTGAAAGGAGTATCTTTTGCCTCTTTTAGTATACCTAGTGTTTAGCACAGTGCCTGGCACATAACAGGCATTTAATAAATATTTATTGACTGACTGACTGTGGGATTACATTGTATCACTCCTACCTCAGCTGTGATCTGCATAATTCTTCTCTCTACATTCCAGATGAAGATGAGTGTGTAGATTCCACAGTGTGCCCACCATATTCAAAATGTATCAACACCCCAGGAAACTACACATGTACCTGCAAACAGGGTTTTGTAATGAGGACTAAGAAAAGCCAGGTTAAAGGTCTCCACAGAATTGAGTGCCAAGGTGAGTAGGGCTGGAGTGGGATTCCTGTAAAATGGAAGTCTAGTTTTAATGAAATAAGGTCTGGGAAGGAAAGAATTTGAACCTGGCTCTATTTAGATGGTTGGTTAGCTTCCTCTCTCTCTCAGTTTGCTGTGTGGATCACATCCCTTTCATGCCTTCACATACCAGGTGACTTTTATTTATGGCATCCTATGAATTCTCCACAGAAGACTCAGTGTAATAGAGAATTCCTCTAGGTTTTAACTTTTATTTTTCAGATACCCATGAAGTACTTGAACTGCCCATCCTTTACCCCCCTTCTTGTGCCATGATTGGCTCATCTCTTTTTACACACCATGCATTTTTCCATTGCCTTTTGGGTAACTTGTAATGTGAACTGCTCTAAGATTGGGATGTTCCATGATTGGCAGTCAGATTGTATCACTGGGGTTATGAAAGCTATGGGCCTTCATGGCAGTGAACATCTTGAGAGGCAGCCTGGGACATGAGGAAAAAGGGTGGATTTGGAGTCAGGGGTCTTTAATTCTTTTGCTTCTTAATTTTTAAAATTTAATCTCATTAGAAAAAAAAGACTGGGTTTCTCTATCTTACCCAGTCTGCAAGTTCAGGGGCCACTCATGGATTCAACCTTACTACTGATTGGCCCAGGAACTTTGACATGCTTCATTTCCTCACCTGGTCTAGTTTGCACCTCCTTAGTCAACCTGGTGATCCCTATTCCTGGGGACTCAACTTGCTGGTGCTGGATTTAGTGTGGACACTCTTATCTGCTTAGCCCACTGCAGCTCAGAACTCCTGAGCTCAAGACCACTAGGCTCAACCTCCCTGGCATCTGGGACAATAGGTCTGAACCACTACACCCAGCTGTTCTGAATTCTAATCCCTGCTCTGTCACTTACTATCTGTGTAATATTGGGCCTCAATCTCCTCATCTGGAAAATGAGCTGAAAAAGGAAATGGCACACCACTCTAGTATCTTTAACCTCAAATGGGACCACAAATAGTCAGGTATGACTGAAATGATTGAACAGCAAAATGCTTTGATTCCCATTCACAACAATAAGCTCATTGGCAGCCTTGGTCTGGGGAACTGTTTTGACCCAATTCACCTTCTACCTAGATGTGGATGAATGTTCCCAGAGTCCCAATCCTTGTGGTCTCAATACCAACTGCACCAACACCATTGGAAGATATGTTTGCAGCTGTTTATCTGGATTCTCTTCTCCCCGTGGAAATTTTTGGATTCCTGGTAGGACAGGACCCTTCCAATGTGCAGGTAATTCCCCCGGTGCCACGGGTGACTTGATCTTGTGTCTAAGATTGTCTCACTTGGGCTCGTGTGTTTTGTGATTTACTGAAAACATCCCTCTCTGCTCTGCAGATATCAATGAGTGTCTCAGTGAAACAGCCTGCCCTCAGCATTACACCTGTCGGAACACCCCAGGGAGTTATGACTGTACCTGCAGTACTGGCTTCACCTCTAGGAACTCTCAATGTGAAGGTACCAAGGACACTAAGAAATAATCTATCTTGGAGTTTTCTTGGGTTCATTTTTTCATTCATTTAAAAAAATGTTTTATTGCCTGAGTGCCTCCTCTGTGATAGGCCCCGTGAAAGTATATAAGCAAACGTGGGAGATGGTCTTTGTCTTTAGACTAATTGGAAAAACAAGATACATTTTCTATAATATGCTTGGAAGGATGTTCATTAAGAAAGTGAATACTTCAAGGTTTGGGGATTATGTTGGCCTGTGGGCGGAAGCAGGTGATGCAGAAAGAGACTGAATTTCAAATTTCCTCATCACTGCCTCCCTCCACCAAAACTGCTGATTCATTTGACTAGAAAGGTCTGGGTATATATTTTTCTCTCTACTTTCAGAAGTGGTAAAATTGATTCAACAATTAATTCCCTTTTTAGCATTCCTTAAATATCGCAAAGGTTAACTCTCCACTCACCCTCATGGATGCTGCTTGACTGCCAGAAATATAACCCCAACCAGCAGTTGGGCACAATCCTGGCTGTGTTGTAGCCCTGGCTGCTACTTCTTTCTGCTCCATCTACTGCAGTTTTTCTGCCCTGCTCTTGTGCCTTTCTTTATGCTTTTGATTGCATTTATAACACAACCAATCCAAGTTATGCTGGCATCAAAATGGACTGAAAGAAGTCACACTAATTAGTGCAAACACTGTCCCCCTAATTTCCAGGATTATATCCCAACAGATACATTCTATATTTTCAGGGGTACACTGGTAACTATTTAACAATTGGCTCTCCAAAAAAAATGTAGGCATGGCACACTTTAATCTTAAATTGTATGATTAACACATTCTCTAACACTTTCTTAAGTCTAGATAATCAACAAAATAATTAGTCAATCCCTAATTTGTAGCATTTGCACTGAAAATTGAACAATTAGCTCTGGTTAGCTAGTCCAAGCTGCCTCCAGAACACCTGCATGTAAAATGAAGGGGTTGGCATAGGCTATTTCTAAGGTACTTACCAGCTACAAATCCACCATGCTAGGATGATACCACCAATGCAGGTGCCATGATATAGAGATGTCAATCATTACATGGTTGGGCTATAGTATAGTCATAACCAGATTAAAATGTAATTGGGGGTCAGCTAGGTGGCGCAGTGGATAGAGCACCAAACCTGAAGTCAGGAGGACCTGAGTTCACATCCAGCCTCAGACCAAACACGTGACGCTTACTAGCTGTGTGACCCTGGGCAAGTCACTTAACCCCAATTGCCTAAAAAAAATGTAATTGGGAAATATTCAACAAAATAAATAAAAATACACTAAAACACAGAAAACATTACATTTAAAAACTAAGTCAACATGTAGACTACAGGGATTCTTATTGGCCTCTGTTTTCATTTGAGTTTGATACCACTGACTTAATAGATACCTTCATGAATTGCTATGGACCTCCCTCTGCCCAGTCTATTACCTGCTAGTCAATTGCCTGGTGATAATTCTCCCTGCACTTAACTAGATAATCCCCAGCAACCTGCCAAATCCATATGAACATCTTCCCTGGTTGGCAGGATGTACCAAAACTTGTGATCTATTGGTTCAGCCTTTGCAAAGCTAAGAGTGACCTCCATGCCTGGGAAAGTCACTAGAGAAGGACTTTAGGAAAGGAAGGGTATATATGTCCATGACATAAAAAAATGCAGGTTAGTGACATCTTATGCATGAGAAACTAGGTAATGTGAAATGAGTTAAATAATACTACCCAAAAAAAATCCTAAAGATGTTCCAGGAAAAGTATATGCCAATGTGTGGCATGGACAGTCAGGGGAGGTAGGGAAATCTCAGTGGCTGAAGGTGGTCATTTGGAGAAGATGAGACTTGAGGGGACCTCAGAGAGAGGGCAGCTGTGGTGGCATGGATTGAGCCTAAGATGTAGTCAGAATATATGGGGTATATAGCTCCATCTCTGGTGCTTACTACCTGCGTAACTTTGGATGCACCACTTCTCTCTGAACTTCAACATGGAGATAATAATAGATGTGCTATCTACCTCACAGGTAGGAATAAATGATTATAGGATCATCATTTTAGAATAGCAAGAGATTTTAGTAGTCATCTGATCCTATACTTCCTTTCCCCCCCCCATGAAGAAACTACAGTACTGCATGTGATTTGCAATTTGCCCAAGATCACACAGATAATAGTAGAGTTAGGATTTGAACCCAGATCCTTTGATTTCCTATCCAGGGCTCTTTCCACAAGGCCATGCTCAGTTCATGTACATAAAGTGCTTTGTAAATTAAAGCTATTACTGAAGAATGGCTAGGAATTGGATAGACAGGAGGGAGAGGAGAGAGAGGGCATGCTAGGCAGAGAAAATGGGATGAGCAGTTTCAATTTGTATGCCCAAATTGTCATCATAATGTTTATATCAATGACTATTTTAATGCTAATTATTATTTTAAATTCACACTAAAAATGCTTTATGAGAGGCAATGTGGTGTAATGGATTGAGATTCCTTGGGAATTAAGAGAGCCTGGAGTCAAGTCCTGCTTCTGCTACACATTGGCTGTGTGAATCCTGGACATGTGCCCTCGGCAATTTTCTAAGACTATGGAGCAATTGCTAATTATCATTAGAGGAAGTTTCCTCTCTGGGAATTCCACTTACCAATCAAAGCATAGGTACAGATTCCCATCTCCTTCCCCCTCATTAGATACTTAACATTAAACATTAAAAAAAAAATCTGTCCTGTGCTTTCCTTGATATAGAGAATTCTTCCCATCAGAGAAACTCCTTTAACCAGTGTAGATTGGCACCTGTGTGGGAGCTTACCAGTTTGGAGCAGTGGTCTCTAAGTCAAATAGAAGTGAGAATCACCAATCCTTACATAAGGATCCCTGTGACTGCATAGTAACTTTGTTTAAGACTGTACTGTTATCTATGCTTCATTGTATTTTTCTTTATTCTGTTCATTATTTCCCAAGTACATTTTAATGTGGTTCGGCCACGTTCTAGAGTGTTGCAGGCTGTGAATTTGACACCTCTGATTGAGAGGATTGTCTGGGACACTGAGAAGTGAAGCCTAGAGCCCTCACACAGTGTTTGCCCAGGTTGGGATTGACCCCAGGTCTTCCTGACCCGGGGGTGGGCTTTCTCTACTTTACCTACCAGTTTCACTTGAGCATCAATACAAATCAAAATAAAATTAATACAAAATTTTGTTTAATACTGTTTACATTTAAATGAATTATTTTCACTGCCTAAAGTATATTGACATTATTCTAGTTGCTCCATCTAAGTCCTGATCACGATTCACTTGTTCATTCATTTTCATTTCCTTTTTTTACCGTATGATCATAGTTAGTATGTACTCAATTCTTTTAGTTCTTTTTGATTTTTTTCTTGGCATTATTTCATTAAGCTCTATCTAGATTCTTTGGTGTCTTCATACTTATCCCTTTTAATTGCATTATAGAATTCCGTTACATTAATATACTACAATTTATTGAACTATTTCCCTATTAGACATTTGGATTGCTTCCAGGGTTTTTTAATTTTTCTTTTCACGTATTGTTGTTATGGAAAATCTTTAAACAGATGGTTGTTCTTATTTATTTTTTTGGGGGGGGGATAACATTTTCAGTGTATATTCCCACCAATGGAATTTTTGATTGGGCCAAGGAATTGAACTATTTTTGAAACTTTTACTGCATAATTCCAGATTCCTCTGCAAAACTTTAAAAAAATTAATTTGCAGAGTCACCAGTAATGAATGAGTTATACTTGTTTCTCCACTAGCACTGAATTTCATTGCTTTTAATGATTTTGTCAATGTAATAGACCTGAGGTGGTAGCTGAGGTTGTTTCTATTTACATCTCTGGGTTCATGAATAAGGTTGTTAATTAATGTGATTAGCTGCACAATAAACAGAATGATAATGGATTAAGGCAGTATGAAAGCTTAGTAGATAGAAGTCTGGCCTTAGAGTCAAGAAGACCTGGGTTCAAGCTGTATTTCTAATACTAGATGTGCGATCAATAGCAAAGTCATTTAATCTCTCAGTATCCCAGGAAACTCTCTAAAATTATATGCAACATAATAAAATTAAATAAAAATAAAATTACATATAATTTATATGTAATGCAGATAATGTAATAGTGGAGTCTACTTACTATACTGGGCATATTTAAAACCCGCCCTGTGTAGTAGTCTCATACCTCTCATCTAGGTGTGTGAGACCCCCTCACTTCTGTCTGGAATTGACTCAATCCAATCCCAATGCAGGTCTGCATTTCCAAAAATCACCATATTTTTGCATTTAAACTTTCTCAGTGTCATAAAGGTAATCCTGGTGAAGGTAATGTATGCCTCTTACTTATCTCTCCAGCTCTTGAGCCCCCCCATCAGATGTATTTTTTTAACTATAAGACTTGTCACTTACAAGGCAATGCACCCATACAATAGGTACACCATGAGCTACTCACATTAAATAATTTTATATCTTTAACATAAACATTTACTTAACAATGAGGTTAAATTAATAGCATTGATCCTAAATTAAAACAAACGAATAAATGATGAAATACATCACAATACATATGTAAACCCAGAACACCCTGTTCCAGAGAAGAACATGATGGAAGAAAACTTGTGTGTGTGGCATACCTCACATCTTGGGACTAGAGACTCCAATGCTATAGTCCCCTCAAGAACTTCTGCACCACACGAAATGGTTTCTTAGGATACTGTTTCACTTTTAATCCTTACCACTCTTGAGCTGGAAAATCTGCTCTTCTCTACTCGAAACACAGCCCTACATAAACTTTTTCAGTTAATCATCGTCCTTATAAGGGATTTTAGAATGTAAATAGTTCTCTTTAAGCCAGAAAACAGCAAAACATTATTCACTTACCCGGAAGCTGAACTGACCAATCAGAACACAGCTTTCCTCTCTAGGGGACCAAGTAGTCCCCGAATACTTATACGATTTCTCACATTTTAGTCATAAAATATGTATTCAAGTTAGTTGTCATACCATCATGCTTTGTCATCTAAAGTCCTCAGCATGATCTTCCATCTCATTGGTGCCCTTGAAGCTGTGTTTATTTTCACTCGTATCTCTCTAGTTTTTAAATATATGTTCTTTCTCTGCCTCTTTAAAACTGTTTTCATACAAATGAGACATCATTCTACCTTGTTGACACAGAGATCCTAGTCCTCACATCTATACTACAGACAAATTTCTCTCCAAAATTGTGCAAAAGCCATCTGAAAGCTGTGATTCTTTATGCACATGTTCCCAGTATATATTAAAAAAAGGATTGTTTTACTTATATTAGGCATAGGCATCAAAAATATCACCTGTAACAATGACAATATCTCATATCACTTGATGATCAATATAAATTTCTTCTTTTGTTAAAAAAAAGATTTTCTGACCTTTTCATCATTAACTGCTCCTTGTGAAAAAGACTGTGAAGAGACAGTACACCTACATGTTACCGATGAGTCAACAATTTGCACTTGTGGAGGGAATTTCCCACACTGTGGAAATCATGAGTTCAAGCCCTTGGTCTTTGTGTCCTCCCCACCCCCTATCCCCTACCATGTGGTAAGTGATCCAAATGTTATTGATCCCATTTTGTAGATGAGCAAACTGATCCTCAAAGAGGAGAAGTGACCTGATGAAGGTTCTGACTAGTCACAACTAGGATTCTTACTGAAGAAAGAGCGCGGTAACCTATAGAACCTAGGGCAGGGAAGCAGGCTGGTGGGGCGGGGGTAAGAGAAGAGATAAGAAAAGCAGCTTGTGCCTTGGACACAGTCACACTCTGTACGTTCTCCAGGCAGCTATCATTCACCAACCTTTCTATCATTTAGTCCCTTAAAGAAGTTCCTTTGACTCTAAACAGCTAGGAGAATGAGATGTTTTTTGACTCTCTGTAGAGGGCAGATAGGAACAAGGACATGACTGGACTATCCTCCCACTCTTTAGCCCTTGAGGTGGCGGTAAGGGTGACCAGGGCACATGGGGTTGTCTTTGGTTTGGGGTTCCAATGGCATTTGGTTGCAATGGTCAATTTGTGGAACTTGACTGCATTTTCTTCTTCAATCCCCAGATGTAGATGAATGTATGGATGCCACAGCTTGCCCAATACATGCCACTTGTATCAACATACCAGGAAACTATTTCTGCACCTGCAAATATGGATATAAGTCAAGCACTTCAGAAGTGAGATTCCGAGGCCAAGGAACACAGTGCAAAAGTGAGTGAAGGGATTCCTGCAAAGTCTATCTGAGCTGGTCAGCAAAGACGGGCAGAGAATTTAGACCCTGAACACTCTTTAGTCTGGAGGGATGGAAGCAGAGCGGAAGACCATGATTGTAGTCCACTTATAGCAACTCTGGGTTTACAAACTACTTAAATTAAAATGACCGAGTGAAGTAGGTGATATAAGCATTAGCATGAATCAATAGCCAATAAACATTTATTAAGCACCTACTTTGTGCCCAGGCACTGTGTTAAGCACTGGGGATACAGCTAAAAAAAAGAAAGTCCCTGCCTTCGTGGAACTTACAATCTAATTGGGGAAGACAATTTTCAAAAAAGATGCTGAAAAGTGTGTGTGTGGGGAAGGGGGTGTTCCAGAGGGTACCTGGCACAGGGGCATGATATTCATGGAGTTGAAAGCAAGCCAAGCAGCTGGTGGGAAATGAAAAGCTGGTTGGAAATTTGGAACCCTCTGGGATTCAATTATAATATTCCTCCCACAATACTAGTATAGAACACAGGCTTGATGGGTTGGCTGAGAAGTGTGGGTAGGGAGATTTACATGCCAGGTTCTCTCCTGAGACAATGGGGTGTCTAGCCACACAGTGAGGCTTATGCAATTCCTCTCTTTCCCCTCCCTTCCTCCCCCTCAACCCACGACCATCCTCACTTCCGCTGTACCTTGGTCTGACTGATGATTTGGGACTTATAATTGTGCCTCATCTTGCTGAAGCATAAAGATGCTTATTTTGGACCTCCTAGAGAATCCTGTCAGGTGCAAATCAGACTTGGTGGACCAGGACCAGGTGCGGCGTTGCCAGAGCAATTCAACTGTGCTCCCGGAACAGGTAAGTGATGAGTTTCCTAAAAAATGATCTCAGGGCCCTTTGTTGCTTTTGAGGGAATTATTGTAGAGCTGGAAGCAAAATCCCTAGTGGGTGTGAAGGGGAGGGGAGGGCAGGACTTGGCTCTAAATGAGGGATTTCTCTGGAAGGTGGACAGTAGATCTATGAGCCAGAGAACCTGCTCTTGTTCTGTCATTCAGTTGTATCCCACTCTTTGTGACTCCATGGACCATAGTATGCCAATACTGTTTGGGAGATTTTCTTGGCAAAGATACTGGAGTGATTTGCCATTTCCTTCTCCAGTGGATTAAGGCAAACAGAGATTAAGTGACTTGCCCGGGGTCACATAGCTAGCAAGCATCTGAGGCTGGATTTGAATTCAGGCTCAGTGCTCTATCCACTAATAGTTGCTGCTAAAAGCCATAATGAGGGGACCAGGTTTTCTGTCACCCTCAGTCAGTAGATAAAAGGAAGAAGAATTCAAACCCCTGGGCTGGTATTTAGCCTGGGACATTGCATTATAGTGGTTAAGCTGAGTGTTTTAGAATGAAGGAGAGCAAAAGACCTAGGTAAGATGTCATCATGGCAAAGAGACCCTGCTATAGGGAATATGGAAACTTGGGTGGTTTCCCATGCCTTCGATCTGTGTTTCTTTGGACTGTGGATGTCCTTGGGTAACACTTGTTTGTGGGACTCTGCCAGAAGGGCTTGAGGGCTTAGGCACAGAATACACGAAAGGACTGGCCAGTGATGACTCTGCCATGAGCTCAGCAACATTTTCATCCTTGACATCTCCTGAAGCCTTTCCTACTCTTGCGGCTATACTTGGGTCAAAGGTTGCGGGACTCTGACAGTCTATGGTTGCCAGACGCTGAAAGATAGGCAAGCCAAGTCAAGTCAGCAAGGGTTTATTGGTCACTTACCATGTGCCAGAAGCTGTGCTAAGCTCTAGGATATAAAGAAAGGCAAAAACATAGTCCTTGACCTCAAGGAGCATACATTCTAATGGGGAGACAGTAAGGAAACAACTCTACTATACATGTAAGACATATAGAGAGAAAAGAGAGGTAATCTTAGAGGGAATGCAATAGCAGTATGATGGAAGGGGGAATTACTTGACAAACAGCTGTTTGAACTTCTTGGCAATGTGATGTATCAGTGTCAAGGACCATGGAGAAGGACTGATGACCTCCATTGCAAAAGTAACCATGTAAATTCCTCATGGCAGTTTATGTACTTTGTTGCTTATGATTTGGACAAGTTCTCCTGCTTTGAGTCCTATTTACACAGTTTCAATGGTTTGGAGTGGGTTTTACATGTTTGATAAATGACACAACTCCAGCTTTTATCAGACAGCCAGCTTTGACTTGTTTGTATCAAATTTTCTTTACTACCCTCTCTCTCCAAAGCTTCATCATGTCAGTGAGGTGATCTCAGGCTCTCAAGGGCTATTCCAAGGAAGGACAGTTGAGATTTGAATCCAAGACCTCTGCATCTAAATCCAGGGTTCTTTCTGTTGCATCATGCAATGGATTGGGTGGTTGGACTCCCCGTCCCAAAGTTCTAGGGACCTCTAATTTAACATGACCTTGTACTTTTCCTCCTTTGGGCATAGGCTTCCTTCTGTATGCTAATGGACTCCATCTTCAGTGTTCTGGAAGACAAGTGTGAGAATAAGACCACTACTGTGTCTTTAGAGGTAAGAGTTGAGTCAGAGGAGTTATCAGTGTGAGAGTTCATTGAGACATAGACAAGGAAGTTTAGTAACAGCTGGCTAGAGCTGAAACTAAGGTTAGGTGACTAAAACTTTGCCCCAGGGCTGGAAGTGTAGGAAGTGCAAACATTTAACACTTACTCTACTTCAGCAGAGTGCTAGGTGAGGTGAGATGATTCTCTGAGAAGACGCCAGAGAAGTAGAGAAAGAGGACTTTCAGGGGCCAAACGCTATAGGAACTGTGAGCTGCAGCTTGTTCCCTCCATTCTGCAGAGAAATCCACAACCTGTCCCATCCAGACCCCTCCCCAATCAAGTCAAGTGCTTCTGGATTTGACTCCTCAGTGCTCTTTCCCCTTCCCTCCTTCCTTTTTGGGTACATTAGCTTCTCTCCTTCCCTCTCTCCATAAGCAGCATTTTTTCAGAGGAAGCAAAAAGATTTTGTGATCTCCAAACTCATGAGTTGGACGAGATGACCTTGGAGATCCCTCCAAGTCTAAGATACTATTCTCTAAGGCACTAGTGGTGGATTCTACTCCCCACCCCTATCCCAACTGAATTTTTCTTAATTATGATTTAAATATTTGTATGGTTCTTTTGTTTTTACATTATCTTCATTTTCAAATATATCATCCCTCCTCTGCTATCTAATGAATAATCCCTTGTAACAAAGAATGAGAAAGAACAGGGTGAGGGAAGCAATTCAGCATCAACCCTATCTGACAATATATGGAATATTCCACACCCATAGTCCCCCACCTCTGCAACATTTTCTCTGGGTCATTACAAGTTTGGTCATCACATTAATTCCTCCTTGAATTTTGAGGGTATATTTCATATTGCCTGCCCTAGTTGATACCACTTGCTCTGAGGAGTGGAAGCCCTGGATGCTCACTTCACCATTTACAACTCTGTGTCTGGTCTAAGAGTTTGGCTTAAACCATGGTTTCATTTTATGAGCTCAAGGTGAGCAAGATGGAGGTGAGTTAGGGGCCAGGGCTCTGGGACTTTATTTCAAAGTTATGAAGGGATTCAGGCCCTCCCCCCACCCTGGCCTCTGTCTCACACTGATGACTCCTCTTCCCTTTCCTTTCCTTTCCTTTCCTTTCCTTTCCTTTCCTTTCCTTTCCTTTCCTTTCCTTTCCTTTCCTTTCCTTTCCTTTCCTTTCCTTTCCTTTCCTTTCCTTTCCTTTCCTTTCCTTTCCTTTCCTTTCCTTTCCTTTCCTTTCCTTTCCTTTCCTTTCCTTTTTCCTTTTCTTTTCTTCTCTCCTCTTCTTGCCTCTCCTCTCCTCTCTTTCCTTCCTTTCTTCTTCTTCTTCTTCTTCTTCTTCTTCTTCTTCTCTTCTTCTTCTTCTTCTTCTTCTTCTTCTTCTTCTTCCTTCTGCCTCTTTCTCTCCTTTCTCTCTCTTTTCTCTTCTCTCCTTTCTTCTTCTTTTTCTTTCTTTCTTCTTTTTTCTTCTTCTTCCCTTCCCCTCTTCCTTTCCTCTCTCTCTCTCTCTCTCTCTCTCTCTCTCTCTCTCTCTCTCTCTCTCTCTCTCTCTCTCTCTCTCTCTCCTCCCTCCCTCCCTCCCTCTTTCCCAACTTCCCCTTTTCACTTTTCATCCTCTTTTTCCCTTTCATAGAAGTAGTAGATTGTATTGGAAGTTGACCAAGATTGGCCTTTGGGATTACAATGGAGGCAGAGGAAAGCATAAGGAGAATGTATCCGTCCCCTGTCCCTAAGGGTCTGTTGCCTTTCTCAGTGGCCAAGTTCAGATGTTGCTGAGTAGACTCTTGTGCACACTTGAGTCTCTCATAACATAAACATCAGTAAGCATGTACTGAGAAAAGTCTTCTCTTCTGACAGAAAGCTGCTGAGAACTTGGCATCTGTCCTTGAAGAGACATCCACATGGCACAACTTGAGTAAGGAGAAGACTTCAACCCTGGCAACAGCTTTTCTGCACAGTGTGGAGAGTGCCACATTGGCAGCTTTTGTCAATTTCTCTGGGAACACGAGTGAGACAGTGACAAATGAATATCTAGGTAAGAACCACTACCATTGACAAACTGGAATTCATTTTCTCCTTTCCTCCTTCCCTCTCCCTCTCCTTTCTACCCCTCCGTCCCTCCCTCTCCTTCCTTTCTTTCTTCCTTCCTCCTTCTTCCCTCCTTTCCTTCCTCCTTCTCTTCCTTCCTTCTTTTCTTCCTTCCTTCCTTCCTTCCTTCCTTCCTTCCTTCCTTCCTTCCTTCCTTCCTTCCTTCCTTCCTTCCTTCCTATAATCACTCAACACACCACATGCAGAGCACTGTGCTAGACTCTGAAGAAAGTATAAAGTTTATATAAAACAGGGTTTCTGCTCTCATCAGACTCAACAGTGAATGAAACAAACCTAGACAAACCACGGTACAAAATAATATGAGAATTGCATCAAAGAGACACAAAATCAGGTATTATTTGAAGTCTGCAGAGGGAAAGATTATTATTGACTGGGAGGACTTGATCAGAGGAGGCTTTTTGAAGGAGGTGGCATTTCTGTTTCTAGGATTCTATGATTCCCAACCCTGTGGATCTGAGCAAGCAGGGACCCTATAGCCACCCCAGAGAGCTGCCAGCAAGTGGCTTCCTCCCACCTGCATTTCAAGCTGTTGCCTTTAGGTTTTAAAGCATTTCTAGACTTGAGGCATGCTGGCAGGTAGACCTTGCCTCTATCTACTTGCAGTGTTTTTATCTCAGCTCCAGCTTCTTCCCATTATGCTGCCTCCTCACAGGTCCATCCTTTAAGTTTGAGAGTCTTCTGTAGCCGCCTTCCTCCAGCCTCTGCCCTCATCTCTGCTATTTTTGACTCTTCTTCCCTTGAATTCAGAATCAAAGCCCTCTGGGATCTGTTCTCAGACATCATCTGACCCTTCAGTTCCTTCCTTTTGTTGAAAATTTGAGTCATAAGATCATAGGTTTTAGAGCTGTAAGGGCATTTAGAAGCCATCTTATCTAACTGTCTTCATTTTACAGAAGAGGAAACTGAGGCACAGAGAGGTTAAATGAATGGGCTACTCTAGGTCACACAATAAATGACAAGGCTAGGATTTGAAACCCAGGTTCTTCTGACCCCAAATGCTATGCTCTTTCCAAGACACTATAGTCTGGCTCTTTCTTGGAACTGTGGAAACTTAATTCATTGGAGCATTTCAGAGGATTGCATTGCTGAGAGATGTTATCCAACATGAGCTCTTCCCTTCCTTTCTAGAGATCGAGAGCAAAGTCATCCAAGATGATTGCCTGGGGGAAAACTTAGTCTTCACCTTCTCGGCCAAAGGTGATTCCATGAAGATTGAATGCAACACCATAAATGAATCTGTATCATTGGGCACGTTATCAGGTGGGTCTAAACTTTGGGGAACTCTAGGAGAGGGCTTGAGATAGGCTAGAGGAAATGATAGTGTAATTCAGCTGCCTTCCTGCAATGTCGGAAAGGGGACCATTTTAGCTTTGCCACTGTGGCTCTGCTAAGGTGGCCACATCAGAAGACTAGGATGATTGTTTCAATCTATTCCTTTCCTTTGGTAATGAGGTTTGGCAATAAGAGTGCTACTAATAACTGGCCTTTGTATAGGTGCCAAAAGGTTTTCTAAGCACTTTACATTACATCTTTTGATCTGTACAACAACCCAGTGAGGTAAGAGCTATAAATATTATTGCCATTTTGTATGTAATAAGGCGATTATTCAGGGAGGGTCCAGTCCCTGGAGAATGCTTAATAGCCACATAGATTGACCACAGGGATGGGACAATTCACAATGAGCCACACTGAGGGACCAGTCTTTTGTTGTTCAGCCATTTTCAGTCATGTCTGACTCCATTTGGAGTTTTCTTGGCAGAGATACTGGAGCAGTTTACCATTTTCTTCTCCAGCTCACTTTACAGATGAGGAAACTGAGGCAAACAGGGTGAAGTGACTTGTCCAGGGTCACACAGCTAGTAAGTATCTGAGGCCAGATTTGAACTCAGGAAGATGAGTCTTTCTGACTCCAGGTCTGCCACTGACCAGTCTTTAGAGCACACATAATAATCTACCTGAATTGGCAGCAAGCAGAGGATACTGAATGTGTTCTAAGGATTGGGGTTCATTGGCTAATCCCCCCACTTTACAAACAGATAAAGAAACTGAGGCTCAGAGAAGTGACTTGCTTAGGGTCTCACATTTATTAAGTGACTTAATCAGAAGTGGAACTCTGGTCTGCCTGACTCTAAGTCCTCTGCTCTATCCACTCAACCACACTGCCTCTGAATAATGGTGAGGTGATCTTCAAAGAATCATAAACTAAAAAAATTTAGACCCCAGGCCAATCTGGTTCTCCTGAATCTAAGGCCAATGTTCTTTCTATGACATCATGTTTATTTATATCAAGTGTAGATTTAAGCCCTGGAGACCACAGTCTCACAGCTGATCATCCAAGCTGTAATTTCTAGTGTTCATAATAGAGTGGGCATAACATGGATTCTTCCATTTGAACCTCACAGCAGTGCCAGGGGGTAGTTAGTGCAAGTTCCATTATTCCCTCATGGTGGATGAAGGTCAGGGAGACGAAGTGACTGCCTCTAAGTCACAGGCTGAGTAAATGGCTGAATCAGCATGTGCTCTGGGCCCCAGAGCTGGTACTCTTTCCACTATACCACCCTCTGTAACCAGATTATCCGCTCCTGGTACAGGCAAAGTGTCTGTGGTCCCACAGACTGATAGAATCCTAGAGTTCTTGTATGTGCAAGGGTTCTGCAGTGGTGGTCTTAATGCCTGGGATGAGTCACACAAAAACTCTCAGGGCAAGTGTTTGGAGGGCATCTAATTGAAGATACAATTAAATATAGAAATATGAGTGTCTGATACAATGTAGCCACTGTGATGGCTAAGAATGTGGGCCCAGGCTCCTTTGGGTTATTCTGATGGCTGTTAACAGAGGGGGTCAGAGCTGCTTTTCTTTTCTTTTCTTTTCTTTTTGGCAATTGAGGTTAAGTGACTTGCATAGGGTCACAAGCTAGTGTCTAAGACCAGATTTGAACTCAGGTCTTCCATGAGTCCAGGGCTGGTGCTCTATCCACTGCACCATCTAGCTGCCCCTCAGAGCCGCTTTTCTAAGAGACTGCTGGAATCTGCCTATGAATGAAGAAGGAAGGCAAGCATCATCAGGGTGATACCAGGGTGATACTAGTGACTTCAGCATCTCCTGAGTCTTTTTGGGACAGATTAGAAAAGCAAATGGAGAAGAGAAGCAGTGGGACTGAGGAGTAAGTGAGGAGAATATTTCATTTATTTAAAAACAAGTTTTTATTGATTAGTTTTAGAAATAGTATATTAAAATAATAAATAAAATATTTGCTTAATAAAGAATAAATTTTACTATTTCTATCTAATCAATTACTATTTGTACATTATATTTAATGAATAATACATGTTTTAATACATGATAAAATAATAGTTTAATTAATATTATATTAATTTTATTTCAACACATTATTTCACTTTATAACAAAGAGCCCTCTCTCCCCCAAGAACCTAAAGGAGGACCTTTCCCAAACTGGCCTTACTTTCTGTTCCTTGACCTTGGCATTCCATCTCTTGACTCCACGTGCCTGCAATGTGCTCCATTCTTACCTTTGCCCCTTCTTCACAGATCGCCTCAGGTACCACCTTTAGGGAGAAACCTTTCCTAACACAGCTTTTGAGGCAGCTTGGTGGTGCCATAGTGCCCAGAGTGCTGGGCCTGGAATCAAGAAGTTGTCGTCATTGAATTGTTTCAGTCCTGTCTGACTCTTTGTGACCCCATTTGGGGTCTTCTTGGCAAAGATCCTGGAGTGGAGTTCCTTCTCCTTCTCCAGCTCATTTTTCAGATAAGGAAACTGAGGCAAACAGAGTGAAGTGACTTGCTCAGGGTCACACAGTTGGTAAGTGTCTGAGGCAGTCTTTGAATTCACAAAGATAAGTTTTCCTGACCCCAGGCCTGGCACTTTATTGACTGCACCACCTAGCTGCCCAAAATCAGGGAGACATGAGTTTAGAACTAAAATGAAATGCTTCCTAGGTCTGTGACCTAGGCAAGTCACTTAGTTTCCTCAACTCTAAAATGGGAGTATTAATAGCACCTACCTCCCAGAGTTATTGTGAGGATCAATTGATATAATATTTGTAAAGTGCTTAGCACAGTGCCTAGCACACAGTAGGTGCTATATAAATGCTAGCTGTTATGAGCATTATTAATGCCAGTAGTTGTTATTGCTTACTCTCTCTCCTCCCTCTTCAAATGATCATGAATATAGTGATCTGTTTACTTATTTACTTGTTAACTTATTACCTGTTTACTTATTTACTTATTCACTGTTTACCTCAGTGAAACATAAGCTGTTTCAATCAATCAATTAATTGAGAAGAATTTATCAAGTGCTTGCTATGTGCCTAGCACTGCGTTGGGTTCTGGAGTTATAAAGACTAGAGTGAGACAGTCCCGTGTCCTCAAGAAGCTTACATTCTAATGGTGGAGACAATATGAATAGAAACACTTATATTCAAAATAGATACGAAGTATCTTTGGGAGAGAAAATAGTAGGAGGGGGGGAACAACCAGAAAAAGTCTCATGCCAGAGGTGTGGCTTGAACTGAGTCATAAAAGAAAGGAGGTATTCTAAGAGCTTGGATACTTTTTGTCTCAACAGCCCCAGTGCCCAACAAAATTCCAAGAAAGCAGTGGAGCTTAATAAATGTTTGTTGTTAGATTCTCATAAAAAGTTCAGCAAAACCCCCTCATTTGGGGAGTTTGCTGTTGACCAGCAATGAGGCACCAAGACCATAACTTTTGTCATTTGGAGTCAACATCGTTCATGGTTATTTGCCACAAGGCTTGTTGCTTTCTGGAGTTACCTTCACTGGTACAAGTTGCATATTGCGTATATTGTTTTCTCTTGGTTAGGCTTCATTCTGCAGCATTTCCTATGAGATTTCCCACATTTCTCTCATTTTCACATATTCACTGTTCTCCAAGGCCCATTAATATTCTATTATATCCATCTGCCATAACTTGTTCCACCATCATCTGCTTCTCTGTTTTTGCTTTTATAGATAATGTTGTTATACAGAGCTCTCATTAAAAATCCTGGTAGGCTGGGAAATTTAGGTGGGGCTGGGAGCAGGGACAGCAGCATTGGAAGGTCTTAGGAGAGAGTCTGACAGAGGGTGCTGTTGTGTGTTATGAATATTTTGGGTACGTAGAGGTTCTTCCTTTCTGGCACTAAGAGAAAGGTACATTTTACCAAAAGAAGAAGAAGAAGAAGAAGAAGAAGAAGAAGAAGAAGAAGAAGAAGAAGAAGAAGAAGAAGAAGAAGAAGAAGAAGAAGAAGAAGAAGAAGAAGAAATTAAGATTATTCTCTTCAACAACCAACCAACATTCATGAAATGTTATATATAAGGCTATGTGTCAAGTCTTGATAAAAAGATAGCTATGGACACGGGACCTGCTCTTAAGGAGTTAACATCTAAGTGGGGCAGCTAGCTGGTGTGATGGATAGAGTGTCAGGCTTGGAGTCAGGAAATGCTGAGTTCAAACCCAGCCTCAGATACTTCCTAGCTGTGTGACCCTGGTCTGTTTGTCTCATTTTCCTCATCTATAAAATGAGATCTTAATTATAAAGTATTTAGCACAGTGTCTGGCTCGTAGTAAGCCCTATATAAATGTTAATTATTATAATTGTTAATCAGAGTGTTTCTCTGCGGAATGTCGTCTAGGTATCACAGGAGTAGCTTTTGCCTCTTTCCTGGGCATGGAGTCCATTCTGGATGAAAACTTCTTCTACAACCCAGAGGTCAGGTCTCCCCAGAAATTTTGGATGAATTCTCGAGTTGTAGGTGGCATCATCACCGGTGACAAGAAAGACAATTTCTCCAATCCTGTCATCTTCTCCTTGGAGAATCTCGAGGTAAGGACGGATGTCTCTGTCTTTGAACTGAATCTCTTGCAATCCCTGCTAAGGGTCCTTGATAAATCATTGGTAGGTTGTCTCTACCTATCAGTCAGTCCATAAATATGTACTGAATGCCTCTTCAGCGAGGTTACTGGGACTTTCCCCCAGGACATCACATCTAGAGTTTGCTGATGGCACTTGCAATCCTTTGGCATCTAGGAATAACAGTTTAATAACTAGTTAGCTAAAGCAGAAAGCTACTGGATGGTGGGCTGTATTGAGCTCCTCTCTTGCCCCACCTTCCTCTGTTCTCCACATGGGTGACCTTACATTAGTTTCCCAGGGTCTTTTTCTCTTCCCCAGAGTTGTTGTCTTACTCTTTGACTTATCTGAGGGCATACTTTATCCAAAGCATTGTTTGTGGTATTTGCCTCAGATGTAAAAATTCCTGGTTCTGGTCTCTGCCTCTTACATGGCCAGCCCTGAATTCCATGACAGTTGGCATTTCCCTGTGATACCACTACGGTTTTCAGTTTCCCTTTCAGTTTTGTTAGCGGCAGGGGGGTGGGGGGGTTGTACATAGAGATCTCGGTGCTTCTGTTCTACCACATCTCCTGTACCCCTACACACTTGACATCTCTCATCATCATTAACAACACCTCCTATTTCTGTAGCCCTTTACAATTACCAAGTGATATATGTATACAAGCCCCGTGAGATGTAGAGGGCAACTATATAATATCACAGATGAAGAAAATGAGAACCAGGGATAGGAAACAGCTCAGCTGCAGTAACACAGCTACCTGCTGGCAGAAGTGAGGCTCAAACCCAGTTTTTCCTGACTCAGAATCAGATTTCCTCCCTCCTCTATATCATGCTACTTTTGCCATCAACACTGAATACATCAAGGGTGAATTATCTTGGTGGTTTGGGTTTATGCTTTTGTAGCTAAAGAAGAAGTCAGACACATGCATCTGCGTCTCCTGGGATCCAGACATCGAGGGTGGGCGGTGGACACCCACAGGCTGTATGACACTAAACTCCAATGAGACACATACCAAGTGCAGCTGCAATCATCTGGCCAACATGGCTGTTATCATGGCGCCTGGGGAGATCACGGTCAGTGGGGACCATTGTGGGATGGGCTCCAGGCCTTCTTGCCACAGAGAACTTATTTTACTGATCAAACAAATCAACCAGGAAGTACAGAAGTGTCAATGATTTACTCACTCATTACTTCATTCAACAAACATTTATTAAACACCAACTGTATGAAGTAGATCATTGTGATGGGGGCCTAAGAAGATGCAAAACTGAGATAAGATAGGGTCCCTGCCCTTATGGAGCTCTAGTATAGTAGAGATTAAAGACGTAAGTACAGATAAAACAATACATGTACTTGGCTTGCCTCAAATGCTTAAATATATCAAAGTCTTGTTTGAGGTCTGGGGAGGGAGAAAAAGTTATTGCTATCAAGGGGGAATCAGGGAAGACTTTCTCGAGGATTCATCATTTGAGGCAGGCTTTATAGGATGAGAAGGTATTTAACAGATAAAAATGTGTGGGGAAGACATTCCAGGAACAAAGAAAGAGCAGTGGGAACCACAGCCAGGACACCTGAAATTGTACGTCACGGTTTGGGGGCAGACAGTCAGCCAATTTGAACAGATAAGGCTCAGAAGGTAGAGTAGTGACAGATTGTAGAGGGCCTTGAATACCAGGCCAAAGAATTTGAACTTGATTCAGTAGGCAATAAAGAGCCAGTGAACATTCTTGAGGAGGTTAAATAACCAGATCTATGTGTAAGAAAGATTCTTCTGAAAGTGTTACACAAGGTGGATTGGAGAGTATGGGGATGGAAAGAGCTGCTAAGTTTATGACTGTCCAGATGAGTGGTAATAAAGACCGGGGCTGGGTCATGGTAGTAAGAATTGTGGAAGGGCAGCTAGGTGGTGCAGTGGATAGAGCACTGGCCCTGAAGTCAGGAGGACCTGAGTTCAATTCCAGCCTCAGACCAAACACTTGACACTTACTAGCTGTGTGACTTTGGGCAAGTCACTTAACCCCAATTTCCTGAAAAATTAAAAAAAAAGAATTGTGGAAGGTGGTAGGAGGAAGGAGGAGACATGTGGAAGATGTCACAGAAGTGGAATGAATGGGTAGGCAAGTAGACCAGGAATTGGTTGGATGTGGGTGGGGTGCCAGGATCTGTAGGTGATATGAAAGAAGCATAAGACAATGTCCTTGCCTTCAAAGAGCTTACAGTCTGATGAGAAGATAAAATACAGTTACATCAACAGAATTGAGTGTGGTCATAAGGGCTGAGTAGGACAGATTTTCAGGGCTGTAGGAGCTCAGAGGAGGGAAAGATTTCTTCTGGGCTGGTGTGGTCATGGAAGGCTTGTTGGGAGAATTAGGACTTGAAGAGTGGATGAGATTTGGAGAGGGTAGAAATGAGAGGGGGATGGTGTGAGGAAAGGGACAGAAGAAGGACTGTTCTTTAGGAAAGTGACTGCCTGGGGTGATAAAGGTGGAAATAAGACTTTCAAAAAAATTTTTAAACCAATTTAGAATCCTTATACAAGCTAAAATCTCAGCCACTTAGCATGACACAGGAAAACACTTTCCTGAGTCAGGGGGCGTGTGGGGGTGGGGTGTGGGGGACTAGAGATGGGTGGTGGACCATGAACCCTGAAGGTCCAGGAGGTGCCTGTAAAGCTAGTGCTCAGCAGGTGACCCATGTGGGCCAACTTCCTTTCAGATGGATTTTGCCTTGTTTTTGATAAGCCACGTGGGGATGATTCTTTCACTGCTGTGTCTTGCCTTGGCCATTGCCACTTTCCTGCTGTGCCGCTCCATCCAGAATCACAACACCACCCTCCACCTGCACCTGTGTGTCTGCCTCTTCCTGGCTAAGCTTCTTTTCCTCGTAGGAGTGGACAAGACAGAGAACAAGGTACGTCTTCCCATCCTGTGCCATATAGCCCTATGACCACCCTTTTGGTCTACCTCCCTGCCCCCCCATTCTGAGGTTATACTCCCCCAACCACCCATTTCCTGCATGTTTTCCACTCTTGGTACCTTCAGACCACATGCAAAGAGAGGGAGCATGGTGTAACGGATGGGGCACTGGAGTTGGAGTCAGAGGAACTAGATTCAAATCTTACCTTACACATCTACTGGTTTTGTGACCTTAGACAAATTACCTAACCTCTTTGTGCCTCAGTTTCCTTGTTTGTAAAATAAGGGGGTTGGGACTTTATGGCTTTGAAGGTCTCTTCCACCTTTAAGGCAAGACCCTATGAGACACTGAACCTCTTGGCCCATGGAAGCCTGGCCCATTGATTTCATCATTGTGTACAGCTGAGTGTGATGAAGGTAATGAAAAGTAAGAGAATCACCTGAGATCTCTTTATGGCCAAGACGGATTGACTGTGAGGGGTCAGGTAATCTGAGTGACTTCCCCTCTGCATTTGTGCCTGGATCTGTGTTCCCCCAACTTCTCTGTGTCTGAGGAAACTCTGGTTCTTCGTACTGTGCTGGCTGAGCTCTTAGACATGGCATGTCCATTTGAAAGAGCCCTACGTATGAAATCCAAAGACTTGGATTTGAATCGTGACTTGGTTATGTACTCTTTCTACAACTCTGGGTCAGTCACTCTGCCTTTCCAAGCCTCAGTTTTCTCATTTATAAATTAAGGCATCTAGACTCACTGATTGCTTACGTCTCCTCTAGCTCTAAATCTTCTGACACATCAAGGTCCAAGATTCTGTGATTCCATGAACCTAGGCAAAAAAGGCTAGTGATGGGGGAAGCCTGTGACAGCACCTTCTGAGGGTCTCCACCTTTTCTTGGGATTCTTGGCTATGTCAGGGGGGCCCCTAACCATCCTTCTGACCCAACCCCGATGTACCAAACCTACAACATCCCCTTTCCAGCTCTCTGGCCAGTGGAGGCATTTTATTTATTGGTTTATTTGGCCGGGTACTTTCCACCATGACCCAGTAGAGGCAGAGAAGGGTACCCTGTGTGCAGAAGCCACGTGGGAGCTCCCTTACCTCCCCACCTTCCCATGGTGCGCCCAGGGGAGAATGACGGGATCTCCTTTCTTGCAGATAGTGTGTGCAATCATTGCTGGCCTGTTGCACTACCTCTTCCTGGCCAGCTTTGCCTGGATGCTGGTGGAGGCTGTGATGCTCTTCTTAATGGTCAGGAACCTCAAAGTTGTGAACTACTTTAGTTCCCGAAATATCAAGATGCTCTATCTCTGTGCCTTTGGCTATGGTGTTCCAGTGCTGATTGTAGCAGCGGCAGCAGGAAGCCAGTGGGAAGGCTATGGGATGCAAACCCGGTGAGTGTGGGGAAGGGCAGTTTGCTGTGGTGGAAAGAGCACTGGACCAAGGAGTCAGAATTCTAAAATTCAAATCTGGTCTCCATTGCTTACTCTTCCTGTGACCTTGGGACAATCCTTTCTGCTCTCTGGGTTGCAGGTTCCTCCTTAATTTTTAGGGCTGAACTAGCTTATAGCTAAGCTCTAATATACTATGTTTTAACGTCCCTTCCACCTCCATTCCAAGGTTCCTCCAAGCTCTGACATTCTGTGTTCTAAGGCTCCTTCCAGCTCTGATATTCTGTGTTCTAAGGCTCCTTCCAGCTCTGACATTCCATGTTCTAAGGCTCCTTCCAGCTCTGATTTTCTATGTTCTAAGGTCCCTTCCAGTTCTGACAGTATTGCTTGGGATACCTGGGGGATATTTAGCCTAGAACAGGAGGAGATTTTGTGGGAGACATATATGAAGGGTTTGTCATATGAAAGAGGGACTAGATGTGTTCTGTGGGGCCCCAAGGAGCCCCAAGGAGTGAGGAAGGGGGGAAATTGCAGAAAGGTTTAGGCTAAAGATATAGAAGTCCTCCCAATTAGAAATACAGTGGGAGGAGTTTTCTCTCAGCCTGTCTTTGGTCAAGGGACTTACCTAAGTAAGTCCTTGTCTCAGGCATGTTAGAGATGGAATTCTGGCTCAACTCTGGCTTGAACTAGATGCCTTCTGAGATCCTCTCCAACTCTTGAGTTTCTGTGATTTTAGGGATTTTTTTTTTAGTTGTAACATTTTATGTTCTGCATCCTGAAGTCCCTTCTAATACTAACATCCTATGTAATAAAGGCCCTTCTACCTTTGCCAAGAGTTTCTAAAGTGGGGCCTGTGAACTTGTTTTAAAAAATATTTTTATAAATATATTTCAATGTAAGTAGTTTCCTTTGTGATGCTATATATTTTATTTTATATATTTAAAGACATTTTGAGTAGGGGTCTGTAGGCTTTCTCTCACACAGACACACACACACACACACACACACACACACACACGTTAAAAACCCCAGATCTAAGCTCTTTTCCACTATTTAAAATTCTCTATTCAATGAACCCTTCCAGCCCTGACATTTTATACTCTCATGGCCCTTCCAGCTGTAACATTCTGTGTTCAGTGTTCTAAGGGACCTTCAGTTGTGACATCTCATGAGACTATCCCCAGATCCTGCTTCTCCAGAGCAATAGTTACTCAGGAAATGCAGCTGTTACTTGAAGGATGGGGGTGGGGTGAGGCTGGACTGTTTCACCTCTTCCCCCTCAACCCCAAAATGTAACACTGACTTTCCCTTGTCATTCCAAAGCTGCTGGCTGAATACAGAAACTGGGTTCATCTGGAGTTTCCTGGGACCTATTTGCACAATAATAATGGTATGTGAGTCACAGGTTGAAGTGTCTTTCTGAGGAGGCTTGGAGAGTGGGGGGAGTTCAGCCCAAGGCATGTGCTCAATTTTATCTTGAGAAGGTTGGGAGTTCACTGGGTTCTGGACTTAGCTAGGTTAGCCTTATGCACCAGGGGAATGGGCAGCTGGCCTAATAATTCCGCAGGTGATTCTAGAGGTCCCAGGATGGTGCTCTTCCACCTTTCCCATGATTCGAAATAATTTTTTATTTTAATTTTTAAGACTGGGTCTCCCTCCCTCATCCAGGTTGGAAGTACAGGGGCTTCTGATGGACCAGTCCCCACTCTGATTGGCACAGGAGCTTTGACCTGCTCTGTTTTCTAACCTTGGCGGGTCTGCTTCCCCTCCCAATTCCCAAGAGCCTCTTCATATTAATGCCAAACTTAGAATGGACACCTCTTGGGCTTACCCCAAGGTCCTTCTCTTACTTTGGATCCAGATCCTGAGCTCAAGAGATCTTTCTGCCTGTCTCAGCAACCCTGGGTAGCAGGGATTATGGTTATTGGACACTATGACTGGCTTGAAATTAATTCCTTAAAGGATTTGAAGGGGACATGAAACTTGTCTTCAGGTATTTTAAGGGTATCACAAGGAAGAGGGATCAGATTTATTCTGCTTGACCCCAGAGGATAGAATCATGAGCAATGAGGAGGAGCTAGCAGATTTAGGCTCAAAATAAGGGGGGGAAATCTTAAAAATTAGAATTATCCCAAAGTGGAACGGACTGCCTTGGGATACAGCAGGTTTTCTCCTTACTAGGGGACTTCAAAATAAAGATAAGCATGTCAGGTATGTTATAGAACAATTGTTGTTCAGCTGTAAACTGGATTCATTGGATTTGGGGTGGGCACCTTCTAATTCTCAGATTTTGTAAATGAGGTGATCAGATTTTTATCCAACATCAGGTTTGGATGGGAGGTGGGCAGGGACCAGAAACTCTGAGGACCATGTCGGTAAGGAGAGCATGCCACTGGATGGGTAGCTAGGGAAGCAACAAAGGTGAAGGGATATTGCTTTTGAGAAAACTTGAGGTTTTTTTCCCCTTTTTTTCATTTTTTATGTTTGTTTCTAATTTTGCCTCTGGACATCTTGGGGAGGAGTTGGCTTTAAGATGGAACTTGTAACATAGTACCATTAGCTAGTTCTTCTGGCAATTTATTAAGAGTCATTGAGTCTCTATTACTTGCTAGGTGTTTGACCAATGGGAAAATCCCTTCTCCTCTCTAAGCCTCAGTTTCCTTATCTGTAAAATGAGGAGAATAAGACATGCTATAAACTTTGTGGGGCTGTTGTGGAGGAAGTGCTCTGTTAACTTTAATTGTAATGGAAATGTGCTATTTTTATTATTATTAATTTATTGGAGGCTTGTGTTTCATTATGGACCTAGATCTCCTGGTGAACTGGAATGGTGAGTGTGAGTACAGAATAATTCTGCTGAAAAAGAGGGACCAGGTCTGAAAGTCACAGAAAGATAGCTATGAAATTGTTGGTAAAGGACTGGTTTTTTAAAAAAGAAACCAGTTCACAAAGGAGTCAAGGTATATGATATAGTGGAAAGAGCTTGGATGTGGAATTAGAGAATTTGGGTTCAAATCTTCCTCTGGAACCTGGATGGCCTTGAGTGAATCATTTTTTTTTTTAGGCCTCTATTTCTTCATATGTAAAATAAAGGAGGTTGGACTTTTTATGTCATGGACCCTTTCAGCAATTTGATGAAGCCTCTGAACTCCCTTTCAGGAGAATGCTTTTAAATGCCTGGAATCAAATGTGCAAGATTACGAAGGAAATCAATTTTATTGAAACGCAGTTATAAAAATATTTTGAAAAAACAAGTTCACAGATTCCAGGTCAAGAACCACTGGACTAGAGTACCTTTAAGGTCTAAGTGTGAATCTGCAGTCTTAGGATTTTACAGTCTCTCATGAGAGAAGCCAAGGGGGAAACAGAGGGCCTCCAGGCTTCTCCTATATCCTAGCATTAGTTCCATGTCCATCTTCTCTGATCTTCTTGCAGATTAATTTATTCCTCCTGACATGGACCCTTTGGATCTTGAGAAAGAAGTTGTCCAGTGTCAACACAGAAGTATCAACCCTCAAAGACAACAGGTGGGCTTAGCTAGAGACCCAGCGGACCAAGCGCTTCCGATCAAGGTGGAGACACCACGGGCATGAGGCCTAGGGTGGGAGGGATCTCTCCCTGATGCCACAGGGGCCTGCATGGAACAACCTAAAATAAGAGTCACTCCTGTGCTCACCTTAGAACACATGCTGTCTTAGTAGCTTCCTGCTATCATATTCCATAGATGGTTGGGGTCACAAGATAATGTAGAGCCTGAGATCTTTAGTAGTGCATATCAAATAGTGTATCTTTAATAGTGTGCTCTCAAAGAACATCACAGGATGAATGAACATGAGAAAAAGAATGTATTCAGTGCTTATTAGGTGGCAGGCACTGGAGATACAAATATAAGTAAGCATGCCCGTCCTTCCTTTAAAGACCTACCATTTTAAAGGAGAAAGACCATATTAAGGAGGAACTGGGAAAGAGGCCAGAGGGGAAAATGTACATGTGGCCAATTGGTTTGGAAATGGCTGAGAAGTGACATGCTGGCTTATTTCCAGGCTAGATAAGGGAAAGCTAACCTCTCACAGCTTAGGGTGGTACCAGGGATAGAGATAGAATTCCGGTAAGAGAGAGATGCAGATGGAGATCAGAGTGCAGGCAATGGTTTGGAAATGACCAGGGAGTGTCCTGGTAGCCTGGTTCTGGGCTCATCTAGGAGAGCTCAAGGCCTCAAGGGCAGAGTTTAATTTCTCCTGGGAGGGTAGAGCTGAAGGGAGCATGCTGTGCAATGTTTTACTAGACACTTCAATAAACAGGGTCTGGAGAGGCATTAGAAAATGACTGCTTTTCTGGTTTTCCAAATCAATTTGCAATGCTTCCTTTGTCCTGGTTACTAGTGCATGTTTTAACTTTTGTTCTTTCCTCTGAACAGAGGGAGCATCCGCTAATTTCTTTGGGGGAGGGCTGCCTGGGTGCCACTTGGAGCAAATCTGCCCTACTGAGTTGGCCCCAGAGACATTTCTGCGGCATTTGGTAGCTTGTGGTTGGAGATTCCTCTTGCTCGCTCTGTGGTCATCCTGTGGTTGAGACAGTCTCCTCTCCCTAAATATTGGTGCAAAAGCAGATGCATCCTGTCAGCTGAGCAACTTTAACACAACCATAAGCCTGACATATGTGTAAATCAGTTATTACACAACCATGAACTTGACATGTATGTAAATCAGTTATTGGCATTATTGGTCCCTCTCATGCTCAGCTGCACTCCAACACATTTAGACACATTAACTTTTGCTCAATAAAAGGTAAAAAGAACCCATATCCACTCTTCTGAGCGTCCTTTCTTCCAGTAATACCTTCCCATCTTATACTTGGAAAGCTGATTTTTTGAACCAAAGTCTAGAACTTTACATTTATTCCTATTGAATCTTACCTTACTGGGTAATGCTTCAGTATTTGAATTAGTCTGTTGTAATCTTCTCACATCCTATTTCTTACTATTGTTGAGTCATTTTTCAATTGTGTCTGACTCTTTATGACCCCATTTGGGGTTTCTTGATAAAGGTACTGGAGTGGTTTGCTATTTCCTTCTCCAGTTAATTTTACAGATGAGAAAATTGAGGCAAACAGGGTTAAATGACTTGCTCAAAGTCATGTAGCTAATACGTATCTGAGGCCAGACTTGAACTCGGGAAAATGGGTCTTCCTCACTCTAGGCCTGGCACTATCTACCATTCGCTTAACTGTCCCATCTATAGTCCAATATCCTATTTCTATCATCCAACATATTAGCTATCCCTCCCAGCTTTGGATCATCTGTAAATTGATAAACATGCTATCTCTTCCTTCATTTGGATAATTGATAGTAATGTTTAAATGGCACAAGTCCAAGGATGGATGCCCAGGGTGCTCTCCCTGAGGCTTCCAGGCTGAAATTGATCCATTGACTACTCTTTGGGTTCAATCATTCAACCAATTCCAAATCTGCCTAATGCTCTATACTATTTTACAATCCACACCTTTCCATCTTGTTGGCAAGGATAGCATGAGAGACTTTGTCAATGTTTTGCTGAAAGCTAGGCATACTATGTTTGTCAGTAACAGGATGGGGTGGTGCTATGCTAGGCTGTGTTGGTAGGGGACTGTCACTCTCACTGGCCCCTGCCCTTGTGTGGCGTACTCCTTCCCAATCATTTCTTCATCTCCTCTTTTCAAGTCTGACCTTCTCTATAGCTACCCCTGTATTTTTTTTTCCAAAGTGACTATAGGAGAGGGGGGAAAAAAACCCCCAACAGAAACCAGTGTAAAGAGAAATGGCCAAGGTCCTACCTCTCATTGTCCTATGTCATCACAGCTTTCTCCAACCAAAATTGTTGATTCATTTAACTAAAAAGGTCCGGGAATAAATTTCTCTTTCTATTATTGGGAGTCATAAAATTGGAACAATAGTTCCCTTTTGTTGGCTCCAAGCCCCCATGCCAGAAAATGCCCTATAGTTGTAAAGTCTCTGTCTGTCTCAGTCTCTGTGTGTCTGTCTGTGTGACTGCTTCTCTGTCTGTCACCTCACAGGTGATTCCTACTCTTGTTTTTCTCTGCCAGAGAATAGCATTGCCTTCTCTGGTGTGCAGTATTACAGTCCCATCTACCCTGAGCCATAAGTAATTCTAACCCTTCTTCAATCTTAGTCTTACCTACAACATAGATTATTAAAAGCCCCCCAACCCCTTTTTGGTTTTTCTTGGTATTCTCTGCCAGCAGCACCTCATTCTGAACTTCAGGATTCCTGGCATTACCCTTAGATGTCTAAAGTTCTCTTTTGAGTTCATCTTACATGACTTGCCCTTACTTCAATCATTTACAAATCTTTTTGGAATCTCAACTGGTGTGAGTTCCTTGTGCAACCTCATAAATTTCTTTAGGCAGTTACCCTTTTTTCCCCCCTCAGTGGAATTTTTTCTACTTGCATCTTCAGATTTTCATTCTTGAGAACTTCTTGTTCATCTTCATCAGACTTCTATTATAGGACCTTAGATTATAAGGCACTACCTGTTGTTTCTTTTTCTTTTTTTGTGAGCCAACTGGGGTTAAGTGACTTGCCCAAAGTCACACAGCTAGTGGGTATTATGTGTCTGAGGCTGGATTTGAACTTACATCCTCCTGACTCCAGGGTTGGTGCTCTATCCACTGCGCCACCTAGCTGCCCCTTGTTGTTTCTTTAAAGCCTTTGAAATCTGCTCAGTTAAATTCCAGGTCAGATTATTCCTGGCATTCCTTAGTCAATAAACATTCATTAAGCACCTACTCTGTGCCAGGCACTGTGCTAAATTCTGGAGATGCAAAAAGAGGCAAAAGACAGTCCCTACCCACAAGGAGCCCACAATCTGATGGAGGAGATGTCAAACAGATATGTACAAACAAGCTACATACAGAATGAATCAACCAATATTTATTAAGTGCCTACTACATTCCACAGTCTATGCTAAGTGCTGGGCATACAAAAAGAGGTAAAAGACAGTTCTTGCCCTCAAGGAGCTTATACTGTAATGGAGGAGACAACATGCACACAAATTTATACAAAGCAAGCTACATACAGGATAAATAGGAAATGATTAATAGAAGGAAGGCACTGGAATTAAGAAGGGTTGTGAAAGGCTTCCTATTGAAGACTGGATTCTTGTTGGGACTTGAACAAATTAAGGGAAGCCAGAAGGCAGAGATGGGGGGGGAGTATTCAAGGCACCGGGGATAGCCAGAGACAATGCCTAGAGTCTGGAAATGGAGTGCCTTGTCTGGGAAACAGTAAGGAGGCTGGTGTTACTGGATTGAAGAGTACATAGGGTGGGGAAGATAAGATAGAAGAAGAAAGGAAAGGTGGGAGAGGCGTAGGTTATGAAGGGCTTTGAAGTGCCAAACAGAGGATTTTGCATTTGATCCCGGAGGTGATAGGGAGTCACCGGAGTTTATTGAGTAGGGGGTATGTGACATGGTCAGACCTGTACTTTAAGGAAAGTTACTTTGATATCTGAGTGGAGCACAGGTTAGAGTGGGGAGAGATTTGGGGTAGGCAGACCACACTGCAGGCTATTGCAATAGTCTAAGCATACGGTTACGAGAACTTGCAAAAGGATAGAGGCAGTATCAGAGGAGAGATGAAGGCATATTCAAGATGTCGCAAAGGTGGAAGCAACGGCCTTTGACCATGGACTGGGTATGGAGGGAAGGATTGACAGATAGTGAGAGTTGAGGAAGACACCTGGGTTACGAGCCTGGGAGACTGGGAAGACTGTGGTGTCTCTGATGGTGACATGAAAGTTTGGAAGTGGGGGAGAAGGTTTGGGGTAAAAAATAAAGAGTTCAACTTTTGGATATGTTGGGTTTAAGATTTCTAATGGGCGCCTGGAGATGTGAGCTCACAGGTCAGCTGAGAGGTTAGGGCAAGACAAGTAGGTTTGAGAATCATCAGCACCGAAATGATAATTAAACCCACGGCAGTTGATGCGGTCACCGTGTGAAATAATATAGAGGTAGAAGAGAAGAGGGCCCAGAACAGAGACCTGAGGGACGCCTACAATTAGAGGATATGACCTGGGTAAGGACCCAGGAAAGTATATTTAGGAGGAGCAGTTTGGTAGACAGGAGGAGAACCAGGAGAGAGTGGTGTCAGGAAAATTGAGAGAAAATCAAGGAGAGGAGGGTGATCAACAGTGTTTAAGGCTGTAGAGAGGTCAAGAATGAGGATTGAGAAAGTGCCATTGAATCTGGCAATTGAAAGAACGTTCCTTTCCTTATTCTTCCCTAATTCTTTTTCATTCTTTCCTGTTCATGTTTCTGGATTTCTTTCCATGAATATATTTGCTAACAGATAAAAGTTACTTTGCTTCCCCTTTTATCTGTAGTCATGGGAGGGAGACAGATTGTCACCATTGGCCTGACACTATTCAGTAGTAAAGATGAGGTGACACCCCTCAAACACTCATCATTATCTTCTATGCACACCATCTAACAATAAAGGGTACTCTGAGAGGAGCTGCCAAGCTATCTTTGGCTCTCAGAAAGCTAGATGTCTCTTTCCCCTTAGCTCTGGCATTATATGGATAGCAATATTTATTTCTTTCACCTAGGTTGTGTGTGTGTGTGTGTGTGTGTGTGAATCAATAAAATTTTGGCTCAGACCCCATTCTACTAGGAAAATTCCTCTTCTCTTTTCTTTTCCTGGTTCATGTTTCACTAATTCTCTTATGAGTCAAAACTATATTGTGATAAATATTTAACTGAATTAAATTTAAAGTAATACAAACTGAGTCACTAAACAGCATACAAAAAAGATGTAGACCATAAATAGACATACATTAGATCTCTGGACCCATCCCCTTCCAAGGCTTTTGGGAATGAAATTCATCTTTCCTTTTCCTAACTGAACCCAGAAGTTCAGTTCTTACGTGCTTCCAAATGGGAACTGAGAAACAGGATTTTTTCATCTCTCCTTGTCCAAAGTTAGACTCTCCATTGATACAATACAGGAATCTTGCAGTGTGTCCTTTGGGAGTCTTTCCTGAGTCTGACATAGCTTATTAAGCAGAATGGCACCACGTGCTGGGCCTGGGTTCTCAAAACCCTCATCTCTTTTCAGTCTCCTCTCTACATCTCTGACCCTCTCTCTAGTCCTTGAACAAAGTCTGTTGGGCTTTCACAAAAGGAAAAGATAGCCTATGTCTGCTATTAGAGTCCCTTAAAAAACAAATGAGGGAGGGGAATCAGATTGCTCACTGTTAACTGACGTCTTTCTTACCCCAATCTCTCTGAAAAGTTCACATCCTGGCCACACCCCACGAACAGGTGCTGTTCATGACAATTGGGCTTGTTCCTTTGTTCACAACTGTGTGGATAGAAATGGAGGGGCACCTGAAAAGCCCTTTTCAGCACTTACAGTGACCAGTGGTTGTTGTCCTTGGTGGTGGCTGTCCTTTGTACTTGAAGAGGACCAAAATGGCATCACTATGTCAGGGTCAAGGTACATTGTGTCTGAGTGTGGCTGATTAGACCAATATGAGCTTGGGAAGGCTCTACCACAGGTCCTGCACAAATAGTCCATATGAATATTTGGAAATGGATATTACTTTAAATTTGTGCATTTCACATTACCTTTGTGCTACTGGGATTCTCCTTTGTTCACAGAGATCAGTGCCTTCTTTGATGCAGGCACACCATGCTGTCAGTCCTGTGACAGTGTCTTCCATGTCTCACAATTGATTCCAAAGTGCTTCAGAGGGACCTCGAAAGTGTCCTCGTACCACTTCTTTTGACCTCTGTGTGAGCACTTACCTTGTGTAAGTTCTTGGTAAAATAGTCTTTTAGGCAAACAACTGTATGTCTGGCATTTGAACAATGTGGCCAGCCCATCAGAGTTGTGCTCTCTGCAGTAGAGTCTGAATGCTTGGCAGTTCAACTGGAGAAAAGTCCTCAGTGTCTGGTACCTTATCCTGCCAGGTGATCTTCAGAATCTTCCTAAGACAACTCAAAAGTGACTCAGTTTCTTGGCATGGCACTGGTAGACTGTCCAGGTTTCACAGGCATAGAACAATGAGGTTAGTACAATGGTTCCACAAGACCTCAAGTTTGGTAGGCAGTCTAATACCCCTTCTCTCCCACACTTTCCTTTAGAGCCAAAGTTGAGAAGATGAACTCTCTGAGGCCGTAGCCTACAGAGGTCTGGTCTGGTGGGGGCAGTGGAAGGGTGAGATGGCTAGGTTCAACAGCTGGATAGGATATGCACAGAAACAATATGATAGAAGGGAAAGTGGAAGAATCGCCAAGGAAATCTACATGTTAAAGGTGATGAGGAATCTGAGGAAGGAGAAGCTACTTTGGACTAGGAGGATAAAAGAAGACTTCATGGTTGGGCTAGTGCCCCAACTGGGCCTTGAAGAAGAGAGAATTCAACTCATGGAGGCTGGAGCTAACAAGGAGGGGAGGGAGGAAGGAGCTAAAGAAAGAAGGAAAGAACTAAAGAAAGAAAAAAGGGAAGAAGGAGGGAAGGGAAGAATAGAAGAAGGAAGGAAAGGAGGAAGGAAAGGAAGAAGGTAGGAAATAACTAACAAAAGAAAGGAAGGAAATGAGCATTTTAAAGTACCTATTATGTGCCAGCCACAGTGATAAATATTCTATAAATACTGGTCCATTCTAGACTTGGTCTGAGCAATGCAATGAGAAAAAGTATAGAGATGAGAGAGAACAGGTCATGATGGATAGTTAAGTGATAGACATAGGAACCAGAACGAGTTAGATTCATATCCTGCCTCAGGTATTTAATAGGTGTAACCCTAGGCAAATCATTTAAAGTCTCTAGGCTCAGTCCCTTTATCTGTCAATTGAGGGGGTAGGACTCTATTTCTGCTCCAAATTCATGCTTCTGTCCTCCTATAAATAAGAGATGAATCCAGTGTGACTGGGACAGAGAGCACTGGAAGTTTCAGATAAGGCTGGAGCCAGACAGTGTAGGGCCTTGAATGTTAGGAAAGACTCCATATTTTATGTGGCAAGAAGACAGAATGATAGCACATTTTTGAATTGAGGAGTGAGTGATGTTCCCAGAAGAGTTCTGAGGTAAATGCAGGAATGAATGCTTGGGGAAAACAAAAGGTGGAGATGGTAAAGTCGGTTGTGAGACTGTTATAAAAGTCCAGATGAAAGGTGATGGAGCCTGCACCAGGGTGCTGGCTCAGTGAGTGGTGAGGGGGGACAGATGTGCGGAGGGAACAGAATCATAGGTTTAGACCCAAGAGAGACCATAGAAGCCATCTGACCCAACTCCCTCATTTTACAAATCGGGAAACTGAGGCTCAAAGAGGGGAAATGGCTTGCTTAGGTTCACACAACTAGTGAGGGCTTGAGTTGTAATATAGACCCAAGTCTTCTTGCTTCCAAGTTCAACACTATCCACTATGCCATACAGCCTCTCTAAGGCTGAGGGTGACAGAAGTGTCAGAGATACCTAGGAGGTTTCAAGCCTGAACACCTGGGAGGATGGTGAAAGCAAAAACAGGGAAGCAGAATAATAACTAGGAATTTTGAGCCCAGGGCAAGTACTATAAATCAAGCCTACAGTAAGCAGGCTTGGTGGAGCACCAACTCGTGGAAGCAGCCAAAGATTCTTTGACACTGTTGTGAAGAGATATCCACACTTGGGGTGGTATAGGGCAGGGTGGAAGAGGAGCTCATCCTAACCTGTCATCTTATAGCTTCTTATCTGAACTATTTTGGATGACTAGGTGCTAAGGTCTCATCTTTCTACACTTCTGAAGGACTGCAAGTGCTAGCAGAATGCTCTAGTTCAGCACTTTTTACATTTGGTACCGTATGAGAAAGCCCTGATCACCTCACCTTAGGTATATCTCTTTAAGGAATTTAGGGGAATGATTTCATTTCCCAACCTTCTCCCTGCAGGTTATTAACATTTAAAGCCCTTGCTCAACTCTTCATCCTGGGATGCTCCTGGATTCTGGGAATTTTTCAGATCGGTCCCATAGCAAGCACCATGGCTTACTTATTTACCATCATCAATAGCCTGCAAGGAACCTTCATTTTCATCATCACTGTGTGCTCAATCGCCAGGTAAAAGCCATTGCTAGCACTTCCTCTTCCACGTGGCCTTCCCTTCATGAAGGCAGCTAAAGTGCAGCAATAAATAACCTTGTTTCTCAATCTTCAGGTGCGAGAAGAGTATAAAAGATGTTTCACGAGGAAGGCCAAATCCAGCACTGTTTCTCAGACCTCAGGAGTCTTGTTATTTTCCATACCATCCACTTCCAAATAGGTAAGGCATCCCTCATGCTCCTCGTGTTGGTCTGGGGTAGGAAAACAATCTCCCTCAGAAGAGTACATGGCTAGGAAGAAGGTCACCACAGAGGAAAGGGCTTCCAAAAGTGGGCAGGAAGCACATTTTTATTAGGCATTTGTGTGTCTGGCACTCTGCTAAGTGCTAGGGATAACAATTCAAGCTTAAAGACAATCCCTATCTTCAAGGAGCCTGTATTCTAAAGTAGGAAAACAACACACAAAAGGAGCTAAAAAGGAGTAGGAGGAGAGGGCAGAAGAGTGGGGAAGGGGGACAATGAAGGTACCTAAATGGGGACATACACAAAAAGAAGCAGAGTAGGAGAGAAATGAATGTGATAACTGAGGATATACCCTGCCCTGTACGGACCTATACCCTAACAGGGGGATCTAATAGATATAACAGACCAAATGTCAATGTTCACAAATATTTACTAAGCCCTATAATAAATCTGCTCATTCATTCATTCATTCAACGAGTAATCCTGAGCCCTATTGCTAATTTATTCATCCATTCAATCATTGTTTACTAAGCTCTATGGCTTATTCATTCATTCATTCATTCATTCATTCATTCTTTCCTAAGCCTTATTCAGGGCAGCTAGATGGGGTTTGGAACCAGAAAGACTCATCTTCATGAGTTCAAATCTGGCCTCAGACACTTAGTAGCTGTGTGACCCTGGACAAGTCACTTAGCTCTGTCTGCTCCAGTTCCTCATCTGTAAAATGACCTGGAGAAGGAAATGACAAACCCCTGCAGTATCTTTGTGAAAAAAAAAACCCCAAAACCAATTGGGGTCAGGAAGAGTCAGACACAACTGAAAAATGACTGAACAATAAAACATTTATTTATTTAACAAATATTTATTAATTAACTATAGTGAAGAGGGAAGATACAAAGTTAAAGTAAGATGTAGTCCTACTCACATGGAGCTTACACTCTGATAGACATATAAACAAAACTAATTCTAGTAAAAATATCACATATATCCATCAGACAGGTATGGGACAAAGTGCTATTTTAGTTCGGAAGGGGAAGGCTTTACTGTCAGGGGATTCAGGAAAGACTTCATATAGGATACAGCATAAGATTTAGGTTTTAGAGAAAGTGTGGGAATTCAGTAGGCAAAGAGCTTTGCTCATCATTCATTCATTCAATACATGTTCATTATGCCTGTCCATTCATTCAACAAGTGTGTATTGAATACTCATTATGTATGTGTGGGGGTGCTATGTTAAATATTACTGGGGATACAAAGATGGGGTTTAAGCATTTCCATAATCTGATTGTGTAGGAGAAGTACTGGAAAGGGTGTTATCAGAAACACACGACCAGAAAAATAGATAGGTCAGTATTGTAGTGAGAGAAAGAGATAAACTGAAGGCCAGCCCATGTGCTCCATCGTTATCAAGAGACATCAAGAGAATTAGAGGAAAGTTCACATCATATTAAGCAAACTGACGCACACTTTCCTGGGAGACCTTGGGTAAGTCCTTTAAACTTCCCGAGCCCCAATTTCCTCACCTGTAAAATGGCAGGATTAGGATCAATGGACTCTGAGGCCTCTTCCAGCATGAATGAGATGGGATCTGCCTCTTTGGAAGAAGCACCTTCACTGATGTCATGGGTCTATTGAAATATGGCATCTAATTCCACTCAGATCTATGTCTTGCTCTTCTTCTCTTATTTTAAATTTCTGCCATACAAGACTTCTAGTTGTCATCCAATCTTGTTCTGCCCTCTCCTGTTTCCTTGTATTCTTACAACCCACGTTCCATGTCTGCAATGAGCTCCTTCCATGTTTCCATCCATTCAGATCCTTCTCTTTCTATCATCTCCAGCTCAGGTACCATTTTTTTCCCCATGAAGATCCTTCCAACTGAAAGTGATCTTTCCCTCTTCAAATTTCTTATATAGTTTCACCTTGATCCCTCTTTTGTCTTTATCATTCTCCCTTGTATCTATGATATCTCCCATTAGGGTAAATGTTCCTTGAGGGCAAGGATATTATTTGTGCTCTTTATATCTTCAGAGTCATCAGAGTGCATTAAACACAGTAGACACTTTAGCAAAAGTGTGTTGGATTGAATGAGTGCACAAGAGCGTGCGCACACACATATACACTATATACACCCACAGAAAAGATTTGTAAAAACCATTTCACCAAACTTTTCTCCAGCATGATAGTGTGACTGCCACATTTGGCCTCTAACATCAGGTGCTCATAGAGGAGGTTAAAATGACACTAAAAAGAACAAAGGTGAGTAAAACAGCCATATTGGACCAAGTATACAGAGAGAATATCCATTCTAGAGGTGATATAATTGTGAGGGCATTGAGGTACTAATAGACACAAAAAGTGGTCCAATAAAATAGAGAAATGTATTTCTTTGTAAAAATAAGGGGATAGATTTGTTCACTAAAAAAAAAAAGGAATACATTTATTGATTCATTAAAATAAAATGTTAAAATAAAGGTATCTAAAGGAAGGGGAGATAACAAAGATGTGGAAATACAATCTCTAACCTTATTAATAAAGGTGGTATAGTGGTTAGAGTACCAGACCTGAAGTCAGGAAGACTCATCCTTATAAGTTCTAATCTGACCTCAGACACTTACTAGCTATGTGACCCCTGGGCAAGTCACTTAATCCTGTTTGCCTCAGTTCTTCATCTCTCAAATGAGCTGGAGAAGGAAAGGCAAACCACTCCAGTGTCTTTGCCAAGAAAACCCAAATGGGGTCACAAAAAGTCAGACACGACTAAAACAACTCAACAACAAAACCTTTTAATATCCCCCCAAAAAGGTTATTGGGAGAACGTTAAAGCAACCAAGCTACATATCTACTCAGCCATATATATCAAAGCCTTATGAGGGTTACCTATACATAAAATCAGGGCATTCTCTATGAAGATAATAGGAGGGAACAAGCAGGCTTTCACAGGCCATATTCAAGAATCGATTAAATATTTACTATCTCACAATTAATGAAAAATTTTAATACTATAAGATATCATTTTTCTTATTGTTATTGTTATAAAAAAGCATTTGATTCTGAAGATTCACCTTATAGGCTCTTTTAGAGCAAGGGGTGTCCCATCTGTACATGAAGGTTATTCTTTGGAAGATAAAATAATGAAATAACCCTGTTCAATAACCCTGATAAAAACATCAGATGAAGCATGAAACTCGATAGGTGTATGCTCACCAAAGGTATCATTTCCTACTATGATGGAGGAGATCAAGTGTAGAGTCTAGGCCAAGGAGGGATTCCTTATAGATGGTAAGGTCCTTTAGATGCTACTATTTATGGATTACTGACATCATAATGATTGAATCAATCCCTGCATCCTGGAAGAGACCTAATATTACTCAAAGGAATTTGGTCTGTTCATCCACACAGGAAAAACTAAGTGGATGGGTCTGCTACCCAGATTTCAATATGCATATGATTGGACACCCTATAGAACTTGCCCAACAGTATGTATATCTGGAACAGACAGTACAATTGGACAACGAATTGGGCCGAGGGAGAAAGTAAGGAAGGCCTTCAGCAAGCTAACTGTTGTGAACTTTTGGGAGAATGTGGACAAGATCATATAGGATGGGTAGGCATGGTTGGGTTGCAGTCTGCATCATTGGAGAGAACTTCCAAATCAATGAGATCACATCTGTATATTTGAGCAAAATTGAACAGGATATGGTAACGATCCTTCAAGAATTCATAATTTTAAATATGAACAAATATAATCCAAAAAAAAATGGAGCATTAACAGAAAATACTGAGAGCTTAGAGGAAGGAGAGAAACTTTTTGGCTGGGGGTATGAGTAAAGATTTCCTGGAAAAGTTGGTATTCGGACTTGACCTGGAAGAACAGGTAGGTTCTTGACAGGCAGAGATGGTGGGAGAGTATTCTGGGAGACTGGGCTGAGTAAGGTGTAGAGGCAGAAAAATTCCAGGGCTGGCTAAGGTAAGTAGGAAGTCTAGTAGGGTTGGAGCGGTCTGAATATACCTTGAGCTCTCCCAGCTGAAGTAGCACATTTGAAGATGGAGGAAACTTCCTGGGAGAGGGGAGGAGGTGTGATATTGGTACTTCTCTCTATGATCTGGAAAATTATTCTTTTTCTCTCACAGGGCTGAAATCTATTTTAGCTTCTGAAGACTCTATAGAATAACAAGGAAAGTGTCAGCAAAGACAAATTCACTGGGATCCTTTTGTAAACTATCCAAAGCTTAACGTGGTAATGCAGCAGGATAGTCACCTGACACAGTTGTCAGGTACATAGAAGACATCTGAATCACCTGTTTCCCATCGTGATTCCCTTTGCCAACTTTGATGTAATGACTCCTGCTCCAGAAATCCAAGGCTACGGGGATAGGTAGTCCTTCTCCCACGGGGGAGCAAAAGCCACATTTCCTGAGTTTGGTTAATTTTGTTAATAAATATTATTTCTATTTTTTAATTAATTTTTTTTGCAAAGTATCTTTCCCCTTCCAATTATCAAACATTTATTTTTTCCCTTTCATTCCATTCCCTTTCCCAACTGAAAAAAAGTAAAAACCTAGGAATAAATATGGATAGTTAAACAAAACGAATTCTCGCACTGGCCTTCTCCAAAAATAAGAATCTAATTCTGCATATTTAATCCATCACCTCTTGTCAGGAGGTAGGTAGCATGTTTCATCACTGGTTCTTTGGAATCATGTTTGATCCTGGTGTATTGATCAGAGTTCTTTAATCTTTCAAATTTTTCATTTTTATAATGTTTCTGTTATAGTATAAATGGTTTCCTTGGCTGCATTTGCTTCACTCTGCATCAGTTCATACAAGTCTCCCCAGTTTTCTTTGAACAATTTTCTACAAATGAACAAATACCACTTGTGGCTTGTATGATTTTGGGTGAGTCCCGTTCTCTCTGAGCTTCAGTTTCCTTATCTGTAGAAAGAGGGAGTTGGACTCAATGATAAGGCCTCAAAGATAAGTTTCTTAAGGTCTTTTCTATCTGTAAGTCATATTATTCTCTGATAAGTGACCTTGAGTAGGTCATTTCCACTCAGCACTGTAGGCCGCTCAGACAATGCATTGCTCAGCCACCTTTATTCCCAGTGGCAGTAGCCTCTTGGAATGCTTGGTTTTCTAGAGGTAAAATTAGAGAATTATGCTAATGATCTCTAAGGTCCTTTCCAGCTCTAGACCCTAGGAGTCTTAGATTAGTGAAGAACAGAGCAATCTTTTTCCATTACTTTTTCCTCTGGGAAGTTTATTTGGGGTGGCAGCAGTGACTCTAGTCTCCTCCAAGACAAAATTTTCAAGACAACCCAAAGGCTCCACTCTACTTGCCCACATGACTTGCCTTCAAGCACTTTATGTCCTAGGCAAACTGAATGATTGTCAATCCCCTGTTTTCATCTTTCCCTTTCCCTTCTCTGAGACTTTGCTCAAACCATCCTTATGCCTACAAATGGACTCCCTTTCCTACTTCCATCGTCATCTGTTAAAGTTCCACCTTCCAAGATCATAAAGCCTTTCCTTATGTGTCCAACTGGAAGAGGTCTCGCCCTCTTCCCATTTCTCATAGTACTTTCCTTGGGTCTTGCCTTTCTCCGTAACTCACAAGAGATTATGTTCTAGTAATTTGTGCGCTGTCTTTCCCCTGTTCCTGTTGTTGAATTGTTTTTCACTTGTGTCCGACTTTTTGTGACCCCATTTGGGATTTTCTTCGCTGAGATACTGGAGTAGTTTGCCATTTCCTTCTCCAGCTCATTTTACAGATGAGGAAACGGAGGCAAACAGGGTTAAGTGACTTGCCCAGGGTCACACAGCTAATAAGTATCTGAGGCCAGATTTGTACTATTGAAGATGAGTCTTCTTGACTCCAGGCCCAATCCTCTATCCACTGGGCCACCTACCTACCTACCTTCCCCTATTACCATCTTCCTGCTGTTAATTCCCCTATTATATTCCCCTAAATTAAGTGAGAGCAGACACTGTGTCCTATTTACCTTTGTATCTTTGACATTTGGAATTTCACTTTACATATAACAGTTAATAAATGTTTGAAAAAGAAATTTTAGGGTGTGAAAAAATTAATTACAGAATGGATGAAGATGGGGACCTCATTACTACTGAGACTGAATTTTTAAAAAATGGAGTAAAAAGTAATGGTGATGGAGATGAATCCCTGCCTTTCAGTGAGAACTCATTCAATTTCTCTGGAGGGAAAAGGGAGCATGCTCACTTACAACCATGCCTTGTATTTCCCTGGGGCACCTTATTCCTGGTCTGGCCCAGCCCAGCCAATCTTCACCTCACATACTTCCTTTATCATCACCCTTCAGCTTCCTCCTCCTTATCTCTCAGCTGGATGATGAAATAATGAGGGCCCTCTGGAAGGATGTGAAAGAGCATTTTCACTGTTTCCCCACACAAAGCTTTCAAATACAACTCTTTGTTTGCTTAATCCAGATATCGGTTTTTCTTCTAATCACAGATGAATAGACAGGGTATGGACACAGAAGGAAGAGTCTAAGCAACAGGCTTCCTTTCCTATGTATAGTCTAATGATGCATCAGGGGATGAATTGTGTTAAGCAGTGACTGCGTTCACCAAGATAAAAGGGTCCTTTCTATTGGAGTTCCTGCCAAGCCATGTGCTAAGATTGTCAAATTGGAAGGGAATTGTCAAATTATATCCTCTCAGAGTCAGACCTCAGAGCAGAGCTGTAACAAGGGTGAGGCAAATGGGATGGTTATCTTGGGTGCACAAAGCTGAGGGTGCAGAGAAAAATATAACACTAACAACCTGACATGTGTTCAGAATAGGGTGCCTGGGGTGGAGAACATGGAGACCATGCCATAGGTGGACCAGTTAAAATAGAAAAAGAGAAGGGAACAAGCCTTTATTTAGCACCTACTATGTGTCGGGCACTGTGCTACAAGCTCTACCAATATTATCTCATTCAATCCTCACAACAACGTTGGGAGGTAGGAGCTGTTATTACCCTTATTTTATAGTTGAGGAAACTGAGGCAGACAGAAGTTTAGTGACTAGCCCAGGGTCACCCAGCTCTTAAGTGTCTGAAGCTGGATTCAAACTCATGTCTCCCTGACTCCAGGCCTGGTGCTTTATCCATCATGCCACCTAGCCTAGATAAGGGAGGGAGAAAACAGCAAACACATCGTGCCATCAGGCTAGGAGGACCATAATTGTATATCCTTGCATATAGGTGGGATTTACAGCACGGTTGGGGAACCTGCAGCCTTTAGGTCCCATGTGGCCTTCTAGTCCTTAAGTGTGGCCCTTTGACTGAATCCAACAGATCTGTGAAGTTTGGATTCAGTCAAAAGGCTGCACTTAAGGCCCCAGGTTCCCCATCCTGGAATACACTAATCACAAATGAAGGTGATTTATATTCCCACTCCCCCCCTCCAAAGTAAGCTTTCTGAGACCAAGTAAGCTAACTCATACCTGAGTAGGAATCCCTTTAATGAGATCCCTGGCAAGAGGCCACATGGCTTCTGAATGCAAACCTTCAGGGACAGAGAGCCTACTAGCTCTCCAGACTGCTCCTACCATTTCTGGACAGCTCCAATCAGCAGGAAGTTTTCCCTGACATCAAGCCCAGGTTGGCCCCTTCATAGCTTTCACTAAGCATTGCAGGCCACTCAGTTAATGAAGGGCTGAGCCACCTTCATTCCCAATGGCAGCAGCCTCTGGAAGCTTAAAACTTCATTTTCCCCAATGGGACAACTTGGTTTGGGCTCCCCGTCCCCGGCTTCCTGTCTTCAGCACTTGTAATCAGGCCACACCTAGTTTATGAGGAAGCACTCCCAGAATCCTGTGCCTTGAACTCAAGGTCAGAATTTCAAGGAGAAAGGAAAGGACTAGTTTCATCAAAACCTGTTTCAGCTCCTGAGAATTACAACCCGATCACTCTGCCAACATAAAGAACCTCTTGCCTCTTGGGCAAAGTTGTCCTATGGACAGCTGCTAACCCAGAGGTAGCTAAGCAGCTCCTTGGACAGAGAGCTGGACCTAGAGCCAAAAAGACCTGTGTTCAAATCTGGCCTCTGATGCTTCCTAGCTGTGTGACTCTGGGCTAACCAGTTCAGTTTTCTCATCTACAATATGGTGATAATCATAGCACCTCCCTCCCTCCCAGGGTTGTTGAGGAGATCAAATGAAATATTTGTCAAGCACTTAGCACAGTGCCTGGGGTATAGTGGGTACTTATTAAATACTTCCTTCCTTCCTAACAGCTCTTAGGTTGCCATCTCTAGCCACAGACATCTAAGGCAAAGGGTTGGAGATGAGCAGGACAGGAGATTGAGAAGAGGATTAGAGGGTTATAGATCAAGACCTGGATGGCAGCTTTGAGACCATCTAATTCAATCTATTTTCCCCATTTTAGAGATGAAGAAACTGAGGGAAGTAAGAAAGGAGAGAAAAGAAGAGGAGTCTCTTACCACACTGTACTATCTGTGTGGTTTCTCTCTAGCACGCCACTTCCGTGTGTCAAAAAAAGTAATCAACTGTGTTTTAAAAGTCTCATTCAGCATAAGAATTAGGGACAGTGTTCCTGGCATTTCCACTCTGGATACCTTGCATTTCTTATTCCTGGAGTGCCCTGTTCTGAGTGGACATGAGGGGAATGAGAAGGAAAGATCTACTTGCTCAGACAGAAGCTAACCCCAATCTGCTGTTCTGTGATTTCTCCTTATTGGTCCTAGTTCTCCCCACTGGGTCCCAGTGGGACAAGTCTGATCCTTCTCCCATAGGACCACTTTCTAGATACTTGAAGATGTCTGTTGAATTCTCCATCCCAAAATTCTACCCTATGCCATTTTATCTACTGTCTACACATACTCATGTTCTTTAACTGCTCCTCCCCTGGCATCTTGGTCACCCTTCTCTGTAAGCTTATTAAATTGTCACACTTGGAATGGGAGGGAGCACTCAGGACTTTTCTCCTGTGGGCTGTCCAGTGCAGTACTGGAATATGCCTCAACCTGGACACTACATCTCTTGATGTAGCCTAAGAAAGCTTTATGGGTCAGTTAGGTGGCACAGTGCATAGAACCCTGGGCTTAGAATCAGGAAAAAAAGTCTTCCTGAGTTCAAATCTGGCCTCGGACACTTACTAGCTCTGTGACCCTGGGCAAGTCACTTAACCCTGTTTACCTCAGTTTCCTCATCTGTAAAATGAGCTAGAAAAGGAAAAGGCAAACCACTCCAGTTTCTCTGCCAAGAAAACCTCAAAAGGGGTCACAAAGAGTTGGACGTGACTAATTGGCTAAACAACATCAGTGATGACTACATGTATTAGTCATGCAAACAGTTCTGAATATTGTTTTTACAGCATTCCCTTGTTTAATTGTTCCAGTGTCACAAACCCATCAGAAAAGGAAATAAGGCTAGGATGGCATGACCTGTTCTTGATGAAGCTAGGCTAGTTCTAGAGACTGTT